TTGGGTTAAACAACCGTTTGATTGACAAGAGATTTTGACACTTAATTACTACGTTTTCCCTGCTTGTTTGGGTACTTTGTGGTTTATAGATATTCACATGGTTTTTATTAACCCGGATGCCGTCAAAATGGCTACATGTAGAGAATTGATATTCTCAATTTATAATCAATAAGGATATCTTATGCAGGAGAATAAAACTTTAATTTTTATGAATTTGTGCTTTTTTATACATAATGAACATAACATCAATTTTTCATTTTTTTGCGGAGTTTCCCTTTAATTTATAACTCCAGTTATAAATTTTAATACTGGATCCCTAATTGTCCAAGAATGAGTTGTGAAAGTGTCAATACAAGACTCGCAGGAATTACTTTTTTTATTTTTCAAAGGATTTTCTTCAAGTTAGAATTTTATTAAAGGTAACGATCCACATGATATTAAAATTAAAATGTTTTAAATAAAAAACAAATTGTTCATGCCAAAACTCGGACCTAATTGGAGAAATGAAAAGACCTGAACGTAACCTGAAATTCTGCGATCAGACTTATTCAAACTTCAATAACGGTTTTATTTTTCAATGGATTTCCTTCAATTTTAGATTTTGTGAAACGAAAAATTCAACATATTAATATTTATAAAGAAATTTAGAAAAATATTTTTGAGGTGTCAGAACTCGGACCTGAACGGGAAATTAATTAACTGAAAATATCAGGTCAGATTCATTCAAGTTCTATAACTGTTTTAGTTTTCAATCAATCTCCTTGAAATTTGAATTTTGTAACAGAAATGTATGATATTTTATTGAAATAAAAGAGAATTTTATAACAAATATTTGTTTAGTTCCAAAAATAGGACCTTGACAGGGAAATAAAAAGACCTGAATGGGCCTTAAAAATACGGATAGATGTATTTGAACTGACAGAACTTTTTTTATTTTTCAATTGATTTTATTCTAAATTAAATTATATTAAAGAGAAAGACTGATTTTATATATATACAGGTCTTTTTTAAATGATAAAAACCATGTTCATGTTCAGTTGAAACCTGGACCTGAAGGGAAAACAGGAATGTCCGTGGAAAATTATTCAAACTAATTAACTTACTTAAATTGTATTTATATAAAATTCTATAAAAACAGGTTTTAAACTGTTATATTTATATATTGAAAATAAAAGTATCATTTGCACATAAACCATGTAATCTAGTGTGTTCGTCGATTGGAATGTATTAATTACATGAACGTGTGCCGGCTGTAATTCACACCTTGTATTATGTGATAATTGGATCATTGTCCAAATAAACATTTCATTTTAATCTTTTAATTGGATTATCATTTGATCTTGTTACACGACCTAAACATTGCTCAGTTATAAATTTTACTATAAACTTTTACAACTGCTCATTTTTAGCTAATTCACTAAAATTAAATATTTTTTATCGCAAGTTTCTTTTGGCTCTTCTTGAATGAAAATGCAAATGTTTTATAAGCTATGTTGAATTTAAATATATATCCAGGGTCATTCAGGTCTTTTCATTATCCTTTCAGGTCTGAGTTTTGTCACAAACAGACAATATAAATATAAAAAAATTTGTAAGGGTTCCGCGGAACCCAGTGTCTTGCCTACTTTTGCTGTTAATCGCAGGCTCAACAAAAATGAGGAAAAAAATTAATAAAAATATTCCTCTCTATACTATCTTTTGATTGTAAGTAGCTTCTGTCCAAGTTTGGTAAAAATCCAGGATAGATTATGAATCTAATAAATGTTTAAAAAACTTAAACTGCAGACTGTATGTAATGTTAACTGGAAGAAAAACTAAGTCCATTTATAAGTAAAATACGGAAAAAATGGAACAAAATTTTAACAAAATTTCCTTCTAGAAACTAGCTTTTAATCATAAACAAGCTTCTGTCCAAGTTTGGTACAAATCCAAGATAGTTTAAGAAAGTTGTTAAAATTTTAAAAACTTTAACCACAGAGTGAATGTAATGTTAACTGGCAGAAAAACTAAGTCCATTTATAAGTAAAATACTGAAAAAACGATTATTTTCTTTTACAAAATTTACTTCTGGATACTATCTTATGATCATAAACAAGCTTCTTTCCAAGTTTGGTAGAAATCCAGGATAGTTTAAGAAAGTTATTAAAATTTCAAAAACTTTAACCACAGAGTGAATGTAATGTTTCCTGGCAGAAAAACTAAGTCCATTTATAAGTAAAATACGGAAAAAATGGAATTTTTTTTTTACAAAATTTACTTTTGGATATTATCTTATGATCATAAACAAGCTTCTGTCCAAGTTTGGTAGAAATCCAGGATAGTTTAAGAAAGTTATTAAAATTTCAAAAACTTTAACCACAGAGTGAATATTTGTGGACGCCGCCGCCGCCGACGGAATGTAGGATCGCTATGTCTCGCTTTTTCGCAAAAGTCGAAGGCTCGACAAAAAGGAAGATGTGGTATGATTGCCAATGAGACAACTCTCACAAGAGACCAAACGACATAGACGTTAACAAATATATAGGTCACCGTACAGCCTTCAAGAATGTATTTTCAGGTTTATTCATGTCTTTCAATTATCCGTTCAGGTCCAATTCTTGTCACCAAAATAATATTTGTCATTAATTTTTTTTTTCTCTTTTGATAAAATATTCAATTTGTACTATAATAAAATCTTGATTTCAAAGAAATTCTTTGATAAAAAAGAAAATGAAGTTTGAAAAAATATATATAAGTGGAATTTTAGGTCAATTCAGGTTTTTAATTCACCGTTCGGGTCCGAGTTTTGGCACCCAAAACATATTTTTCATTATCTAATTTTTCATTTTAACAAAATGATGAATTTTCATTTTACAAAATCTAAAGTTTAAAGGAAATCCATTGAATATTTAAAAAGTTATTGGAGTTTGAATAAGTCTGACCATAGATTTTCAGGTCTGTTCAGGTCTTTTCATGTCTTTGTTCAGGTCCAGGTTTTGGAATCAAAAATTTGTTTGTTATACGAAACATTTTATTTCGAATAAAATATGGAAATTTACCTTTAATAAAATTCTAGCTTGAAGAAAATCCATTGGAAAATAAAGAAGTTATTGTAATTTGAATAAATAGAATAGTATATCTTCAGGTCTATTCAGGTCCATGTTCAGGTCTTTAGTGTAACCCCCAAAGCACAAAAACTTAATATTTGTCACTGAACCATGAAAATGAGGTCAAGGTCAGATGACACCTGCCAGTTGGACATGTAAACCTTACAATCATTACATACACCAAATATAGTAGACCAATTGCTTATAGTATCTAAGATATAGACATGACCACGAAAACTTAACCTTGTTCACTGATCCATGAAATGAGGTCGAGTTCAAGTGAAAATTGTCTGACAGGAATGAGGACCTTGCAAAGTACACACATACCAAATACAGTTATCCTATTACTCATAAGAGAGAAATTAACATTAGAATCTGAATTTTTTTTTCAATAAGTCACTGAACCATGAAAATGAGGTCAAGGACAACGGACATATGACAGACGGAAACTTCATATCATAAGGCATCTATATGTAATGTATGAAGCATCCACTGGGACATTAACTTATTAGGGTACCACGATTTCCCGTAAATAACAAGAACAAAATAATATCCCGAGAACAAACTGATTTGCCCCGATAACAAGATTTTACATGGTGTTATACTGCATAAATTAGTGTAACAGCATACAAATATAAGGTTTAAGACGTTTTAGTCGTTCATAATCAATAAAAGTACAAGTTATTTTCAGGAAGTCGAATTGTAAGTCTTGTATGCAAATTCCTTGTTGAAAACAATATGGGGGACGTAATTATTCATAAGGTAGATAATATATTGCTTAGGGTCTGGGATCTGAAAAATGTTTAGGATACTTAGCAATTAATGAAATGAAGGGGGTTGAAGATATCCCCTGACCATGTCAGAAAGGGCAGGAAAATATGTCCTCCATATTGTTTTCAACAAGGAATTTGCATACAACTCATAAAAATCAAATTCTTGAAGTAAAATTGCATTTCTATTGAGTAAAAACGAGTAATATCTTTAATTAATATTCTTGATTATTGTTAAAAGTAGTATAACACCATAAAAAATCTTGTTATCGGGATAAATCTGTTTGTTCTCAGGATATTACGTTGTAAATAACTTATTATGTCACCTCGCTACGGCAATACCGATTGTATATTTGTTAGTCATTAATATCAAAATACCATCTGAATAATCAAAGTCTTGCTCAGATCTTTCAAACACTATATGAATTATTGCTTCTTCAGACTTCATCCTCTTCACAGGTCACATCTGCCTAATAGTAATATTACTACGATTTTGTTTTTTCAAATAGTATCATACAGACTAGTCCAAATAATTATGACGTCTTGGAAGGCTATTTTAAATTTTTGCTTTGACGCCTTCCTGCCGATGTAAGGCGTCAAAGAAAAAAACTATAATAGCCTTTCAAGACGTCATAATTATTTGGACTACATTTGTACATACAGACACACTGTCTTCTTCCATATACTGCCCACATTCAACTTTCTGAATATACTGGCAAATGCAGGGTGCAGTTTCATGTAAAAACAGATTAAAGTATCTTATTACTCGGCGTCTTCAACCTTACCTTTAATTGTTTAATGGGCTAACCATTCAATGTCTCTAACGAGATTATTTTCAAAAGAATGTTTTCAAAAATATTGTGTGTGCATTTTTTGTTTTGATAAAACCGCCTTTAAACCGGAAAATTGCTTGGTCAGTGAAGTGTTTTAAGCATTGCGTAAATAATTGCAATTTCAAGCGTCGATGAGAATTACTAAAATTCTATAAAAAAATACAAAACGAATAATCTGTATTTATTTCATGGATCTGAGCAGACAACAAAGAATAATTTAATTTGAAATAAGTGTCCGATTATAATATCTCATATTAATAAAAAGACAATCAATAAATTATGTAAAATAACATTCGTTTTGTTAGTTTTTTTTCCTGAAACCATATTTTGGCAGCACTTCAGTCACATTTGACTTGGCATTTGCATCCTTCATAATCCAATATAGCTTCAGGCAATGGCACTTTCAAATGAAGAAGTCGCAAAAGCGTGCATAGAACCTGACGAATCAACCAAAGTAATAATATTTCTGTTGTCGAAACGAGAGCATACCTGACGGTATCGGGTACGTTTGCTCTGGGGCCGTTGCCCTTATTTTTATTAAAAAAAAATATTAATATTAATGGTATAATTTAAGGTTTAATAATCTTAAATATTCAGATACTTATTATAATCAGTCAATGGTAAATACAGAGACATATAATACAAGAGATTCGCAACTCGGCGAAATCCCGTAATAACACGCGGCCACTAGTTAAACCTCGCGAGATCTCCTTAGGTAATAAAGTCATTAATAAAAGTATTAAAAGTACTCGAAGTAAGGACGAATGTTTAAGCATAACATAAACTGTTTCAGTGTTAAATTTATCATAATTAATTAAATAATTTGAGTGCATATATAATTATTTATTTTAATGTAATTTTGATTTTAGATTTGTATTATTGAAAAAGAGACATAATTTGATATTGTATTAAAAAAAAACTGATATTAAATAATTAACACTTGATCAATTGTGTCAGAGTTCATTTTATTTGATAGTTACATAATGGGTTTCTATTGAATATACACCTGTCTCGGAGACATAATTTCACAGTGTGACATGTATATTAGGTTTGAATTATTCGATGACCAGGTAAATCACGAACTTGTTATAAATAATGAGTTTTAATTGACACCTTGTAAACAAGAAGTTGTCACACCACAGGTGTCCACACACTTTCCAAAAATACAATTCACAAAATGTAAAATTAATTAATATGGAAAAAAACTTAATTTATTTGTTAATTAATTGTTAATCATGATAGGCTTTGTTTTTTATTCTTGATATTTAAGAATTATTAAAATTTTATTTATTTTTATATTCCTCATTTATTGGGCTTTCATTGAGTCTTTTTCTGTAGGATTGTCGGTAAATGTTTGATTTCTAAGTGTTGTTTGACAGTTTTATCATATAGGCTTGCATTGAGTTGTTTTTTTAAATGATTGTCGGTAAATTTATGGTTTCTTCATGTTCGAAGTGTGTAAAGAGATGGCAATTTAAAAGTAAGATTGTTTATGTGTATACATATACAAATCCTTGGTGTAAATAAAATCTTTAATTATCAAATATATATATATATATATCTTTTGCAGTCACCATTGAAATATCCTCAATACGATTTTAATTTAAAAATGAATTAGGTTCATGTTTTGAATGAGAAGCGTAGTCTGAAACGACAACAGATGCATGAAGCTCATTCATAATATTACGACCAGCAGAAGGTTCCCTTTACTAGGAAAATTTTACTCCTTTTGTAAATTTACTGAATTCGTTCATCTTTGGCACCCTAAAAATAAGAAAAAAAAACAATGACTTCAGAATAGGAGAAAATAAACAACTTTGCCATAAACAGAATGAAAAATGAATAAATTGTCTAACAAAATGCAGGCTATAAATTTCACAGTGCACAAAAAAGAAGGACTGATTTAAGGAAATTTGTCCATGAACAATTTCAATATTTAGCCAGTTTAATAAAAAATTTCGGGTATCAATCAGAAAAAATCGCCACATTGTTGGATCAAATTTTACGAAAATAGTCTTATTTTCACGAAACAACATTTGGGAGTACTATTGGCCCATAAAAGTATATATTTATTAGCATATTTCCAAGTTTTAAGACAAAAAATTGGGAGATCAAATGGTTTCTACGGCAATAGGTGAAGTAAAATGGGCTGAGTTTTAATTTTGTTTGTATTTGATTAATCTCATCATTAGAACACATTTTATCAATAACAAATTATTAGAATTAGTTTTTTGTAACTTTTAAATATACTTGCATGCTTTAGCTGTGAAAGGTATCGGCATTATCCATTAGAAAAATCGTGAGGCGTAGAACCTTTTTCACAACAATAGCATGTTTTTACCCATAAATCCATCGGATTAATCGGCTTTCCGGTGGCCACGTCATTTCATTGGCTGTTATATAGACTCTACTAGAGTTGCGAATCTCTTGTATTATATGTCTCTGGTAAATATTAAAGAAAATATATCTCTCCAAATTCATGAATAAACATGGAAATTTAAAAAATAAATTGCTTTCTTCTTCTTCTTTTAATATATATCTTTCAGATTTTTCAGTAGTCCTTCATTGATCTGAAGATTATTTATGGTTTTGTGCAGTGTGGTCTATATATATATTTACAAAAACACAAAAATAATCATATATTGGTATCACATCATGCAAAGACACATTAGTTTCCGCACAATAACTTTTATTTAAGTGTATGGATTTCTATGAAATTTTACCAAAGGGTTTATGACCACAAAAGGAAAGTTGGGATTGATTTTGGGGGTTATGGTCCTAACAGTTCAGGAATAAGGGGCCAAAATTGGGCCCAAATAAGCATTTTTCTAGTTTCCAGACAATAACTTGTGAAATGGTGTATGGATCTCTCTGAAATTATACCACAAGTTACCATATCACAAAGGGATGGTAAGAATTTGCTTTGGGGGGTTATGGCTCAAACTGTTTAGGAATTAGGGGCAAAAAAGGGGGAAAAACAAGGATTTCCAGGTTAATGGAAAATTACTTAAGTACAAAACATAATTTTAAAGCAGTGTAAGAGAGGTAATTCAAACACATATTGTCAAATTACCTCCCTTACACTGCTGGTAAATTATTTATAAAGAAATGTATTGTCTTTAGGTGATTAGCTGTCAATTTATTTTTAGAAGTGACTATTTTAAAAATGTTTAATAAAGGTAATTTAATTATAGCCATAATTATGTATGTGAAGGAATTTTATTTTTAGATATTACTATTTAATGTTGCTGATGGAGGCTTTTTAATTTTAGGCATGATTATGATGTCATTTTCTATTTTAATACTTTTATGATGTATTTAAATGGGTTTTTATGGTTACAAAGTCCTAGCTGTCAATTTATTTTTAGAAGTTACCTTTAAATGCCGATGAAGGAATTTTATTTTTAGATATTACTATTAAAAGTTGCTGATGAAGGTTTTTGTCTCACCTTGACCATGTTGACGGAGTCAAAAAGCGAGACATAGGTATGCTGTTTCCGGCTGCGACGGCGGCATCGGTGGTGTCAACAATGTATTAGTTTGTGATTAGGTCTAGTTCATGGTGAACTACTAGTGGTAAATCAATGATATTTGGTATGCAGTTGTATTAGCATAAGAGATTACCATGGAGATTATTTGGCTTCGCCCCCTTAGTCATGGACTATAGACTTTGAAAATTTTGCTAAGTTAACATGTATTAGTTTGTGATTAGGTCAGTTCAAGGGGAACCATTAGTGGAAGGCCAATGTTAATTGGTGTTCAGTTGTATAAGCATTAGCACATCTCATTTCCATGGAGAATATTTGGCCCCGCCCCCTCAGGCATGGTCTATTTACTTTGAAACTTTTGAGTTTACATGTATTAGTTTGTGATTAGATCAGTTTAAGATGAACTTCTAATGTTAAGTCAATGATATTTGGTATGCAAATTTATTGGCATTTGCAAGTATCGTTTCCATGGAGATTATATAGCCCCACCCCTGATCATGGTTCATTGACTTTGAAACTTTTACATAGTTTACAAATTAATGTTTGTGTTTAGGTTTGTTTAAAGGGAACGACTTATAATATGTCAATGGTATTTGGTATGCAGCTGTATTAGCATTGGCACATCTCATTCCATGGAGAGGCCTCAGTGGCCGAGTGGTCTAAGTAGTTACTACTGTAATCACTAGCCAGTCAACACTGAGGTTGTGAGTTCGAACCCCGCTCATGCGGGTGCACTCCACTCCAATCTTAATTGACTAGGATTGTCAGTTTTCCTATCGAAGGTCGGTGGTTTTCTCCGGGCAGTCCGGCTTCCTCCACCAATAAAAATTAGCCGCCACAAAATAGCCCAAAAGCAGTGCTTAAAAGTGGCGTTAAAACACCAAAAATCAAATCAAATCTCATTCCATGGAGATTGTTTAGCCATTTACCTTCAGTCATGGTTCATCAACTTTGAATATTTGCATAACTTACATGTTAAAGTATTGCTATTTTAATTTCAACATTTGCATTATCAAAATTACAAAAAGGCGAGACATATCTCTGTGATAACAGTTTATTTAATTTTAGCCATGACTATGATGTCATTTTCTATTTTAATACTTTTATGATGTATTTAAATGGGCTTTTATAGTTGTTAATTTCTGTGTCATTTGGTCTCTTGTGGAGAGTTGTCTCATTGGCAATCATACCACATCTTTTTTATATTTTATGGTTAAAAAAAAGCATTTTTCTAGTTTCCAGACAGTAACTTGTGATTAAGTGTATGGATCTCTCTAAAATTGTACTACAAAGGAAAGACTGCAATTGAGTTTGATGGTTAATGCTAAAAGGGGGATTCAAAAAGTTTGGGGGGAAGGGGGGGTTCCAATTTTTTTTTAAAAGGGTTCATATTTTTTTTTTCAAAATTTTCAAAATTTCAAATTTTTAAAAAGTTTCAAGAAGAAATCTTCAATTGCACAGTATTGCGCATTAGATTTGTAAGATCTTTGACCACATTTATTTTGTGTCAGAAACCTATATTATGTCAAAAATTTGATCACAATCCAAATTCAGATAGTATCAATCTTGAATATTGTGTCCAAGTTTGCCCCAACTGTTCAGGGTTCGACCACTGCGGTCGTATCAGGCTGCGCTCAGCGAAGCATTTTATTTAAATTGTGATTAAAACTATGTACATAGGCTAATAATAAGTTAAATGAATATGTGGAGAACAGCTGGTGTGAGCTGTTCTCTGAAAGTGTCGACTGTAGTGACCGTGACTGTATGGATTGGCAATAAATTCCACTGAGTTATAGTATATGGAAAAAATGAAAATTTATATGTATCTTATTTTGGTTGAAATGTGTCTGAAAGTGAAATTATGTTTTTTGCGGGTTCTACTGTCTGATGGTATGAGAATAGCAGATGGGATTGCTACGATTTGATGTACTATTTTATAGAACATTATCAATCTTGTGCATAGTCTTCTTTCTTGTAGTGTGGGCCAGTTTAATGAGATTATCATGTCTGTTGGACTACTGATGTTATGGTACCTGTTTCCTGCTTTATTTTTGAGCATATTAATTGGCTTCATTGCTACATTTGTTTTTATTTAGAATTACTTTTAATGACTTGATTGTAAATAAACTCATCATGGATACCAGGATTGAAATTTTGTACGCCAATTGCACGTTTTTTTTGTCTTCGTGGTGCTCGAATCATAAAAAAAAAGGCCACTAAAGTACAAAGTTGAACTTCAACTGTTGAAGAGCATTGAGAACCCAAAATTCCTAAAAGTTTTGCCAAGTACAGCTAAGGTAATCTATTCCTGAATTAGAAAAGCCTTAGTATTTCGAAAATTCAAAGTTTTGTAATTAAGAATGTTGATTAGGTATAATTACCAGTGGCGGATCAAGGGGGGAATGTTCCAGGGGTTGGAACCCCCTTTTTTTTGACGATCAATGTTTTTGAATGGGGATATATGGTTGGAACCCCTTTTAAAAATGGCTGGAATTGCCCCTGATAACGATGTCTTTTATCTCACTGATTGTTGTAGTTACTGTTTTTGGTGGATTAATAAAAAAAAATTTTTTAAATAAACAAGTCAGCTTGGAATGAGTTCAATGATGTAAGAATTGTAAGACATTAAGGGGAAATTGTTTTCACAGCTTGGCTTCTAGGATCTTAAGTTGCTACAATGTTTCAAAAAAGATAGATACATACAGATAACTTGGTCTTCAGTTGTATACCTGAACAGTTCAGTGCAAATCAAAGAAAAATAAATATCTGGTAGCCGCAATACAACATAACTTTTTGACTTTAACACAATTTATTCAAATAACTTATATTATACAACAAGACAACAAAATGAAATAAAAATCAGAGCGAAAGGACTCAGTGGGAACAGGAATTAGGGCGAACAGACCCAGAGCACAAGGTACTAGGGCGAACAGACCCAGATTCATACTTAAGGTAGCAATTAATCTACCAAATGAGCAAATGAAAATTGGGTGTCTTTCGCCACATTTTTTCGTAAAATATGTAAGACTCGGATCGACGTCCAGTCTGTAATCGACGTCGAAATTTGACGTCATAATGAAATATGAGTCCAAATCGACAGCCAATTATATGACCCTCTAATCGACGTCTTTCTCCTTGTTATCAAATTGACGTCCTTTTTACAGACTTGCCTCAATGACATCACAACTTTATCAATTGGTGGGTTAAACTCAAAAACTTGTTGACAAATATAAGAATTTAAATCTTACTGAGTCCAAATGATAATACTTTTCAACAATTGGCTGTACTTTTTATTCTATCTATTGTTTAAGACAGTGTATATTGCCTTCTACATGTCACTCGATTATCTTCGTTGTTGGATTGTTGTCTCCTTGTCGTATATCCACATTTATATGAATATGAAAGGAATATGACATCGTAGATCGAGAGGACTCCTTTCACCAAAATATTTAAAATGTGCATGTTCATGTAATATGATGTTGGTGGTTGTCTTATTATCATTTTCTGATGTTTGTCCTTTTATTTTGATAAAGATATAAGAAAACATGTACAATTAGTTTCTTTAAGTAGCTGTACACCAAGACAAAACTATACAGATAATATAAACAAAAATCAAACTAAAAGAAATGATTGAATGATATTGGACATCGATGATCGGACGTCGTTTTGGTAATACATGACGTCACATTGGACGTCGATTAGAGGGTAAAAATATTGGACACGGATTTGAGAACGTAACATCACACTGGACTTCGATAACGTAACATCACACTGGACTTCGATTAGAGGAATGTATGTTGATAAGAGACCGGACTTCGATCTGAGTCTAACAAATTTAATCACAAATTTCATGCGACAAAAAGTTGGAAAAAAACATTACAATAATTTCCGGACCAACTTCTGGTATGGATATGAAAATACAGACTGTCATACAGAAAACAGCCATAACACATACATTACACCATCTTGATGTTCCTATAAACCCACTATGAAGGCTACATAAATCAAACTAAAAGAAATGATTGAATGATATTGGACATCGATGATCGGACGTCGTTTTGGTAATACATGACGTCACATTGGACGTCGATTAGAGGGTAAAAATATTGGACACGGATTTGAGAACGTAACATCACACTGGACTTCGATAACGTAACATCACACTGGACTTCGATTAGAGGAATGTATGTTGATAAGAGACCGGACTTAGATCTGAGTCTAACAAATTTAATCACAAATTTCATGCGACAAAAAGTTGGAAAAAAACATTACAATAATTTCCGGACCAACTTCTGGTATGGATATGAAAATACAGACTGTCATACAGAAAACAGCCATAACACATACATTACACCATCTTGATGTTCCTATAAACCCACTATGAAGGCTACATAAACTTCAGCAATCCAAAAATGAACTTTATTGCACACTAGCTTTCATATTTGAAAAATCCACAGGGTCCTAAATGCGAAACTACACACCTAACTGTGGAGTGCTACCTAACACCAGAAGTCCATCATTACTAGTAATGGACTTCTATCACTAGCCTTTAACCTATTTTTAGATATCCCTAGACTGAATCTAGTCCAAATAACCATTACTTAATTATTGATTTTTTGCTACAAAGGCATCACAGCAAAACATTAGAATAGCCTTTCAAGACGTCAGAGTTATTTGGACGACTGAATCCTAACCCTCAAGTAGCCTCAGAGTTAGTGTGGAGTCTAAGAATTCTTCTCCAAAGAGAAGCAATTCTAACAACTGGTTTATGGTAGTTCAATTTGTTTAGACCACGGGTACAAGTCAAATCGGCACCTAAATAAATTTAAATAGTCAAATCTGCACCTATTGAAAACTCATAGAAATAGTCAAATTGGCACTTATTAAGTCATTTTAGCATTTCCTAAAATTTACCATTTTCTTTTTTATAAAGCAGTTAGAATAAAAAAAATAAAAAGGAATAAATAGGTGTGTTGTTGAAGTTTTCTCAATATTGTATTAATAATATTTTGAACTGTTTTCTTTTTCAATATATAGATCTAATAAGTACCTATCCATTAAAATGATTAATAGGTTTGTTGTTTTATAACCTTTCTAAGGTAATTTTTGGTGTATTATTTTTCTAAAACTTAAATAAGTAATAAAGCCATTTACCAAACTATTTCTGGAATTAACCAATTGATTTAATCATGTAATTAAATGTTCACAGCTTGATAATTGGATTATGTTTTTTTATTTTTACTGTCAGCATGGTCATGACTGTTGTATATATATATAATTAGTCAACAAAAGCTATGATACACAAGTTTGAACTCCAAATTATCATAAAATGTATGATTTAAAAACAAAATTGTGTGAAATTAATAAAGTAGAATAGGTTAAAATTTTGTTAAATGATAAAAAATCTGGCTAATGGTAACAAGTTGCATATTTAATAGACTTGTATTAAGATGATTTAACTAAAAGGTCATGTCTGAAAAAATGTATATGATAAACAACATACTCATGATACTCGGGCATATTTTATACAATTTTAGCATTTGGCCAACAAACTGCATGCCTTTTCTAGGGCCCTTGCAGTTTAGCTTGATAGTGTAGAGGCTTTTCACTCAGGCTCTGTGTTCACAAAGTGGACTAGCTGCCAGTGTAATGTTTGATTAAGTATATTTTGTTCTATTTCAGGAATTCTTTTTTCAACAGACAATGATGAGGATAAAAGATCCTAAAAAATCCTTAGAGTTTTACACTAATGTCATGGGAATGAGGTAAGTGAAAAATCCTTAGAGTTTTACACAAATGTCATAGGAATGAGGTAGGTGAAAAATTTTTAGAGTTTTACACAAATGTCATAGGAATGAGGTAGGTGAAAAATCCTTAGAGTTCTACACTAATGTCATAGGAATGAGGTAGGTGAAAAATCCTTAAGAATTTTGTTTTACCTGTTATATCACAGAGAATGTAAGACACCTGTGTGCTATGGCAGCAGATTTAATTTATCAAGCTTATTTTGAATGTAGATGGCTTATGATCTGAAGTTTCTATTTTGTATGGCAGTTGACCCGGACATCATTCTCTCCTTATTCAATGACTTACTCTTGAAAGTCATCCTTAAAATTTAGAGTTTTTGGTCAGTTTTTCTGACAGTGTCTTCTATCAATAAGTCAACAATATTTTAATGCAGTATGGCTTAAAGCTGTACATGTCTGTCTGACAGGAGTCACCTGACCTTGAACTTTTTAAGTTGGAAGCCAGTCTTATACTACCACAGAATAATTTGGTCTAATTTGCTCAAGTTATTCTTACGAAAACTTCCACTGAAAATAGTTCTTTGATTTTTTGTTTTAAATTTTGTTTACTTTTAACAACTTTAATCTTGATACAAATATGTAAATAGCCAGTCACATATTTCATTAAATGAAGCTGTTAATTTATTGTTTTATCAAGATACTGTGAGAAGGAATTTGAAATTGAATATAAGTGTTTTACCAGGTTAGATAAATGCATCCTGTATATTAATTATAAATTATATAACTACTGAAAGCCAGTCAAATATCTTTTCGTCTCGGCTTCTAGTAAGCATTCTATAACTAATCTAACTGTGCTTTTAACTGGTTTCCTTACTACAATTAAAGAACTTATTTATTAAATGTATACTCTCAGTACCTCTAGTTAAAATTATTTAATAAAGCATATCAAAATAATTGAATTTTTCACAGGAAACACCTGACTCATATTATGGCACAATAATATTATCAAGGATTCAAATGTATAAAATGTAAAAGATTTGTGAAGAGTGAATGATCTACCTTATAGTTTAGAGTGTCAAAAAAGGAAAAATAGTATCCCTCTAATAGATTATGACAAATGTTTTGCATTCCTGAAAAGAGATAATAAAACTACATTGGATGCTTTTGTAATGTATGGTTACAGTACAATCAGAAAATTGGAATTGATAAGATATAAAGGACTAACTGTTTTTCATTTACTAATATTCATAATGTTATAGTAAGTGTTAAAGTTAAATTAAATAGAATTAACATACCCCCTGCTTAATGGAAGGAGGCAGTATAAAGTGATCATTTTGTTGCACTTTGTATCATCAACTTGTCTTATACTGGTGACTGGATTTCAATAAAACTTTCACTTAATATTTTTCTCATACATCAGTTGGAAGCATCCTGTTGGTTTTTGTTTATCCAAATAATTAAGGGGGTTTTCATTGCAAAATATGTACTAAGCTATACTTAAATTAAGGATAGACATTTTGAAACCCTTCTTAAATACCTATCTGCATTTCAATGAGATTTTCACCAATTTTCTCTTGCATAATGCCTTGATAAAAATTTATAAATGATTTTCAGGTTTCCTGTAGCAAAACACAAACATCACTATATTTAAACCAATGCGAAGGGGTATCAATTTTAGAGCTAGATTTACATTTATCCTAATCTGCATTGTGTTGTCTGCTCTGTAAAATTTATATGCACTTACATATCATGCATTATATATTTTGAAATAGTAAAATACATGAATGTTACTTAAGTTTGTGTTTTATAGGTTACTGAAGAAGATGGATTTCCCAGCTATGACATTCTCATTGTATTTTATGGGGTATGATCAACCAGAAAACATTCCTACTGATGAAAAAGAAAGGACTAGATATTGCTTCTCACAGAAAGCAACTTTAGAATTAACTCAGTAAGATTTCTTAATACAAGAGATGTTTTATCGCAGTATGAACCAGGAACCTTTTGTGAATCACAAAAAAAAACAATAACCAGAAAAGTCTTGTTAAACACAAAAACCCAGTTACTGTAACCTCTTGTTTAACACAAAAACCTAGTAACTGTAACCTCTTGTTAAACACAAAAACCCAGTAGGTCCGGGTACACAGTTATCGTCCTTTGATTTTCGTTGTCCACGAATATAGTCCCTAGTGTGGACAGTGTGTTACTTGTCGATTTTTTTTATACCCCTTCCAAATTTATTTCTCCATGTTTTATGACTCGAATAGTAAGTAGAGGGGTGAAATGACACTGTAAAAAAATTTGGGTCATGAATTTTAAAGTAAAGTAGTGATTTGGTCCAGCTGAAAAAGGTTAAAAATTAGCACTTCGGAAGCTGTCAAAAGATTTGAAGACTCCCTTAACATGAAATTGTCCATATTTTGAGTTAGAGCCGATGAAGTTTTCTATAATTTTGATATAATTTGTCCCAAAAGTAGTACAACACACTGTAAAAATATTATTGAGAAAGCGCAGGTGGGATTTTTTTAATTTTCATTTATTCTCTAAAAGAAATGCACTACGAAATAACTGTGTACTCGGACCTAAGAGGTGAAATCAGGAAATATAGAATCTGTACTTTGGCAACTTCCCTGAATGATTTGATGGTGTCAATTTATCAAATAGCATAAAACTAAAGGATTTAAACTTTTATTTGATAGAATTTCTGCAAAAATTACCAATTTTGGCATTTTATGGTCAAAATAAGCATTTCATAGCTTTTTCAATTTTGATGCATAAGTGACATTCTGACCTTCTATCTGACAGGTTTTTATGTGTCAATATTTGTGTTTCTATGCTTCAATCCAGTTGTATTACTCATTTGTGAACTCTGAATCTACAGAAAAGAAGATTATCTCGGACAATATGTGCAAAATGTGTTGTATATATGATCCTCGTCTAACGCCCTGTTTGGATCAAGTTAAATGTGAGGAGCTTGGAACATAAAAGTTGAAGTCCATTATAAAGACCTCACTAAATTTGTATAAAAAGCACTTAACAATGTCTTTTGTACCTGTTTTATGTCACATACTATCTTTCTTTTCTTCTGTAGGATAGCAAGTGGTTCAAATATAAGCCTGTTGAGACTAAAATTGCATGCATGTTTTTCACTAAAAAGTGAAAAATCTTTGTATCAGACCATACTGTCTGCAAAAAAAGTTTAATGCAAGAGTCTTTTTGTGCTCAGATTTATTGTATTATGTCACCTGGGTATAAAAATGATAGAAAAGACACAAAATTTTATTTCCTATAGCTTCAATATGCATTTTTAAATGTAAATATGTGATACGGCCTAAATTGACCCTAAATTATTTTCAGTCTTACTTGGCCTAAGACCCTTTTAAACTAATGTGATATGTTATTTGTAAGTTTTCTTTCCATTTATAGTACATTAAATACATATGTAAGGATTATTTATAACCAAAAAGCTTTACAAATTTAAAATTGCTGGAAAATATTACATCTTCATGTAAGGCCCCCCTTCATTGGAAAACCTCCATTTTTAGCCACTTGCTCATATAAATTTGACTTTTTAATAATTATGATAAGTCTGATAAATCAAATGAGTACTCTATTGCTTTTAATATATAATATATTATATATATTAAGGCATTTCAAAAGTATTTTTTTGCAATATTTTAATTTTTTAAGCCCCAAATGTTGATAGTTGAAAATTTTCAATTTTAACGTCTAAATTTAACACGCAAAGTTGAATATAGAATTAGTCATATTGTCTATAATATATATTCTATTGCCATGAAACTTTGTAAGCAGTTTTATAATTTAATAAGCTTTGGTCATACCAAGTTTCATTAAGATTGGTCAACTTTTTCTACCCTAATAGGTCCGGGTACACAGTTATCGTCCTTTGATTTTCGTTGTCCACGAATATAGTCCCTAGTGTGGACAGTGTGTTACTTGTCGATTTTTTTTATACCCCTTCCAAATTTATTTCTCCATGTTTTATGACTCAAATAGTAAGTAGAGGGGTGAAATGACACTGTAAAAAAATTTGGGTCATGAATTTTAAAGTAAAGTAGTGATTTGGTCCAGCTGAAAAAGGTTAAAAATTAGCACTTCGGAAGCTGTCAAAAGATTTGAAGACTCCCTTAACATGAAATTGTCCATATTTTGAGTTAGAGCCGATGAAGTTTTCTATAATTTTGATATAATTTGTCCCAAAAGTAGTACAACACACTGTAAAAATATTATTGAGAAAGCGCAGGTGGGATTTTTTTAATTTTCATTTATTCTCTAAAAGAAATGCACTACGAAATAACTGTGTACTCGGACCAGTAACTGTAACCTCTTGTTAAACACATATAAACAAGTAACTAGAAACCTCTTATTAAGCACCAAAACCAATAACCAGAAACTTGTGTTAAAGACCAAAAAAACTAAAAACTAGAAACCTCTTGTTAAATACCAAAAACAAATTGGATCATATTTGTTTTTTGTAAATTGTTTTTTTGTAAATTAGGCCGTTAGTTTTTTAATTGAATTTTTTTTTATATTTTTTCATATCGGGGCCTTTTATAGGCAACTATACAGTATAGGTTTTTCTCATTGTTGAAGGCCGAACAGTTGCCTATAATTGCTTACATCCTCTTCTTTTGAACATTGGTGGATAGTTGTCTCATTGGAAATCATACAACATCTCCTTATTTTTATATTGCTATACAAGAAACCTTGTACAGCACCAAAAACCAGAAACCTTGTTAAACAACAAAAACCAGTAACCAGAAACCTCGTGTTAAACACCAAAAAACACGAGTAACCTGGAATCTCTTGTTTTTTTATGAACATTGATGGATAGTTGTCTCATTGGCAATCATACCACATCTCCTTATTTTTATATTGCAAAAAACTTCGTAAAACACCAAAAACCAGAAACCTTGTTAAACAACAAAAACCAGTAACCAGAAACCTCTTGTTAAACACAAAAACAAGTAACCAGATGCATCTTGTTAAACACACACAAAAAATGATTGCCTATTTTTAGCCTTTTTATACGACCGGGAAAAAAATTTGGGGTCGTATATTGCTATCATGTTGTCGTCGTCCTAAGACATTTGGTTTCTGGACAATAACTTTAGTTTAAGTGTATGGATCTCTATGAAATTTTACAAAAGGTTCAATACCACAAAAGGAAGGTTGGGATTGTTTTTGGGGGTGATGGTCCCAACTGTTAAGGAATTAGGGGCCAAAAAGGGGCCCAAAACAAGCATTTTTCTAGTTTCAGGACAATAACTTGTGTATAAGTATTTTGATTGTTCTGAAATTGTACAACAAGGTTCAATACCACAAGTAGAAGGCTGGGATTCATTTTGGGGGTAATTGCCCAAACCGTTCAGGAATAAGGGCCAAAAAGGGTCTTAAACAAGTATTTTTTTAGTTTTCAGACAATAACTTGTGTTTAAGTGTATTGATGTCTAAGAAATTGTCAATTTTCCACAGAAAAATTTGGGGTCAATTTATTTTGCTAATTCTTTGTATATAGTCTGAAAACAGATTTACTAAGTATTGCGCAACAGCACAGTGTATTGCACAAAGCAAGAAATCTTCAATTGAATATAAATTCAAATCATATAACCAATTTCAAGTTCTTTGACTACATTTATTCTGTGTCAGAAACCTATAATGTGTCAAATATTTAATTACAATCCAAATTCAGACCTGTATCAAGCTTGTTTATTGTGTCCATTTTTGCCCCAACTGTTCAGGGTTGGACCTCTGCGGTCGTATCCAGCTGCGCTCGGCGAAGCAGTTTATTATATATTAACTGTTAAAGAAAATTGAAATATGATAAATAAAAGTCATTATGTGACCTGTTATATCTGCACATTTAGTTAACTGAAAAAAAAAATAGTAGAAATTGCATAGAGGCATTTCATGGTTTTGTTATTGGTTTATTTTTTCTAGCGGACTCCACTATGAATCAAATATCCTGTGATACTGTTTTTATATTATTGTTTTACAGCAACTGGGGAACAGAAAAAGATGATAGTCATTATCATAATGGAAACAGTGATCCTAGAGGGTTTGGTAATTCTCTTTTATTCAAGTTTTATATTTCTGCATCTACAAATTTTCTGTATTTTCTCTTTAATATTGAAAAGACTGCTTTCAAGAGCATTACTTCATAAGAACATTTCATATCAGTTTATAAGTTTATTATATACCGGTAATTCTAAAATAGGGTGGTTAAATGTAAAAAAAATAAATACTTAGATAGAGAAATTTAAAGCTAAACAGAAAAAAGTACACATCTGTATGGTGTGGTTGGGGAAATCCCCATAATGATATTATTACCAATTTTGATATATGTCAAGTGTGTAGTTGGTGAATCTCACCCGGATAAACACCTCTAGTTTGGCAATCATAGTATGCTTGTAAGAAGATGATGAAACTTAATTTGAACAATAATTCTATAGTTAGAGAATCGCATTGAAATGTTCTGCAAACAGCATAGAAAAGAGGAGATGTGGTATGATTGTCATTGAGATAACTTTCCACCAGAGGACAGTGATTAAGGCAACTATAAGCCACCACAAGGCCTTCAAAAATAAACAAAACCCGTACCTTATAGTCAGCAATAAAAGGTCACGACATAACAAAATGTGAAACAATTCAAACGAAAAAAACAATAGCCTGATTTATGACAAAACAATAAACAAATATGACAAACAGCAACCCAACACAACCACTGAATTATAGGTTCCTGACTTTTAAGAACACAAATAGAATGTGGCAGGATTAAGTCTTTTTTAACAATCTCATTTAGGTGATACTTGGTTATACTTTTGCTTGGGAATTGTTGTAAAAGCACATTCATTAGCAATAGCTTGATGTTTGTTTATCATGACTCTGAATACTGCTGATGGTTATCATTATCATATCTGGAAAAAAATGGATCATAGGACCCTGTCATTATTTGGCCGTAGCCTTATCGTGCCCAAAGTAATCAGTTGTCTGCTTATTTGTTACAAATCACAATCACAATCCAAATGTTTTTGTTATTGTTTTTAAAGATTAAAAAAGTACTTTCCTAGTCACTTGTTAATTATAAAAAGAAAAACAACACTTAAGCTTCCACTGTGTTAAAGGTTTATTCTGGTTGACTTGATTTGCCACCTGTGGCATCTCAGGACACCGGTCCCCAAACAAACAAAAATATCAAGCTACAAAAAGAAATCTGAAAGTTTTTTGTCACTATGTTCATTTTCATGAAAACTCAGATACTATATACAGAAATAAATAGCACTTCTGTCTTAAATCTTTAAAAAGATCCTTTGGATTCTATATAACAAATCACTCTTTAAGTGAGGGTTCCTCCGTTTGCCCAACAAAATATTTTCATATTTACAAAATGTCTTCATATTTGGTCAGCAGCTTGACAGGGATGAGTTGTGACTTTTGAGCACCGTTTAGATCTGTCAGATAACTACTTCCTGTTTGTTGATACTCGGAATTTTTCAAGATGTTGAATGAACTTTTAAACCAATTTTGTCACCCTTTTCTCAGAAACTGCTGAACAGTCAGACTTCTCTTTCTTGTTTTCTATTACTTTGAATTATGAGTGGGTTATAATAAGCACGACAACTCGTTTATTTTTGTTTGGAAGAGCATTGCCAACGATAACATGATAATATTTTTGTAATTCTTAAAACAGTTTGATATGTCCATAAAGGATTTGAAATATTCTTGTTTATATCACAAGCTTTCTAAAACTGAGTATATCTGATGAAACTACCAATGTTGTCTACATAAAAATTTAATTATACCCCCGCTTTAAAAAAGTGGGGGTATACTGTTTTACCTCTGTCTGTCCTTCGGTCAGTCCATCCATCCGTCAGTCCGTCCATGGTTTCAGGGTTTATATAAGTAAGTTACACTGTGTGATGTGTTTTCAGATTCATCACTCAACAAGTTCCTGTTTACCGAAACACTTGTATTATTTTACACATGATAGCCAAGTTGAAAATTTTTGTCACATTTTTCACAGGAACTACTTGACAAGGATTTCTGAAATTTGGTATCAGGGTTTATATAAGTAAGTAACACTGTGTGATGCGTTTTCAGATTCATCACTCAACAACTTCCTGTTTACCAAACACTTGTATTATTTTACACATGATAGCCAAGTTGAAAATTTTCGTCACATTTTTCTCATGAACTTCTTGACAAGGATTTCTGAAATTTGGTTCAGGGTTTATATAAGTCAGCTATACTGTGTGATGCATTTTCAGATTCATCACTCAACAACTTCCTGTTTACCGAAATATTTCGGCGGGGGTATCATCAGTGAGCAGTAGCTCACAGTTTTACTTGTTTTATGTGCATTTATTATTTTCAGGTCATATTGGAATGGTTGTACCAGATGTAGACAAAGCTTGTGAAAGATTTGAAAAACTTGGTGTAGAATTTGTCAAGAAACCTAATGATGGTAAGTAATAAGGCAATGAGCCCTATAATTTTCACTTTGTCTGCCTGTCCGTCTGTCAACGCAAAAACCCCAAAAGTAAAGGTATAGGGCCAATGAAATTTTGCACAGTTGTGCTCAATGTATAGATGTGCAGATTATATTTTGGTGAAATTTGGCTCATTAATTTGGGGAAAAACTTTATTTTTGTTAAAAAAATCACAAATTTGGAGAAATGTTTTATATAATAGGATTTTAACAAAAACAGATATATTCTGTAGGTGTGTTTTAAAATTCATTTCAAAGTGATTGACAAATTAAAAAAAGGTAAAAACTTACTTTTTGTTAAATAATCACAAATTTTGAGAAGCATCTTCTTGTGGTATATAACATAGGCATGATATGCATTCCAGATTGTTTCCTTAAGTCAAAATTGTGTTAAAAACTTATATTTTGTTAAAAAATGATAAATTCTGAAAATTATGTTTTTTGCTATGATTTGAATGAAAAAGGTATCATTTGCTGTTACAATATGATTCTTGGTGTCAAAATTATTGGTTGTCTACCGTCAATGAAAATGCCCATCAAAATTCATAGTGCTTGGATTTTACAGCTCTTTTCATAATGCTAGCAAGACAAAGGTTTGTTTGACTTGCTTGCTTTGTTTGTATAAATGTTTGCTCAAGCATTGTAATTAAGATTGACATCTGCAAACAATATAAGTAGGCTGAGTTAAACATGTGTGTAGGTAAATTTGATTATTTGATAATGTCCAATCAAATTTAAATATAATGTATACAAGGTTAAATCCGCCTTTTAATGTTGTTTTCAGATGTCAATCTTAAATACAATGCTTGAGCAAACATTGATATAAACAAAGCAAGCAAGCCAAACAAACCTTTGTCTTGCTAGCATTATGAAAAGAGCTGTAACAAAATATATATTAATCGGTGCACATAAGGAATTAATTGCTGTTGTCAAAATTTATAACAATTGACAACCTATGAACATTTGCCTTGTATGCATCAATCTCTTTGCCTAACGTAAAAATGTGCAAGTGGGGCCCTTGCTGACATGTCAGTTTTCTAGTCTTTGTTGACCAAAATATTTCTTATGATGTAGTGTTCACCTGACTTTCTCAAGTCAGTCAAATCGTTTTCCTAATCAATATTGTAATGATGCCAATTTTTTCGTTCATTGATTTGAATGTGACCTCTGATAACTGACCTTTATACTTACAGGTAAGATGAAAGGGCTTGCCTTCATTAAAGATCCTGATGGTTATTGGATAGAAATCCTGAATCCAAACAACATGGTCCCTACATAGACAATTGCCATGTATACATGGCTGACCATAGATTATGTAACAATTACAATGTGACAATCTATATGTTGAACAATTCTTGACATGCATTCAGTATTTATAACCTTTTCTCAAACAAAAATTATAGATATAATCAGAGCTTTAAAGGTCTAAAGTGAAATTGAATTATGTCCTTGCTGACATTAATTTTCCTGTTAATAATTGTTTTGTGTGTTCTCCCAAGAAATTAATATATTCTTGTGGTATTTTTTACACAATGTTGGATACTTTCTGGGATACTATTTACATTTGTTAATTTATTGTTATGAAATAATATAGTGGTCATAGGTTTTTTGCGTGAATATTATCAATGCTTTTGAGAGCACAAAACTACTATTGTAGTATGAAGAGTTGTTTATATATATGGAATGTTCAATGCCTCATTATTTTCCAAGTCAGGGTCAAAATATTTATGCTTCCTGTTTGTATATGGATAATGTATACATGTATGGTGCTAATGTACCTGTCTATTATTTTCAAATTTATCAGTATATCAGGAATGGTTGGCGAAAAGCACATTTATCAATAAATATTCATTCATTCATATCTGTGATTCCTCATAAATGAGACTCTTTTACAGAAACCTAAATTTTGCATCTCATATGTTATTTCATGATTTGGTCCATAGAAAACTGTCTTTTTAAGTTTGGAAAGTAGGTACTCCTTATCTGCAACTTTTTGTAAACCAATTTATGGATTTCCAGAATATTCATTACTTAATATTGTTGTGTACCTTCTATTAGTTTTTTAAATTAGAACTTTCAGGGGTTTCCTAAAATAAATTGCTGGCTTAAAAATTTCTACATGTTGCTGGTGGGCATTTATAATTTTGTTTATAGAAAACAGAAATATACATCAGTATCAAGGGCAATGTTCTCTTTCAAAACAGTAAAATGACAACATTTTCTAATTATGTCATTTAATTTGACCCCACCTTTCCAAAGGGGTCAGTGTACACTACTACGATCACTTTGCATGTTTCATTCTTTGTCATTCATACTTTTAAAACCTTGGTCAACTCATCTGAAACTAATTTAAATCAAACTTGACATGAGTAAAGTATTGATTATTCACATAGTGCTTTATTTCCTTCTTATTCAGTGTTGAAATTGTTGGCAATGGTGCTCCATATGTTCATATTGAACCTTACATGGGGTCATCTCTTAAACTACTTAACCTGTCTGAAACAAGAATAATGTATGGAAGGTCCTAAATGATTCAGTTGATCAATGGTGCTTTTTTAGAGCCCCTGGTTATGTAGTAAGATATAAGAATATGAGGATAAAAAGCCTTAAAAATTTGCAGATAATGATTACTTTGTTATTGTTGAATTTTTGCCTAAAAATAAATGAATGTAGACATTGTTAAAAAAACAACTTGGTATTGTTGTGGGTATTTTTACTTTTCTTCAAAACAACATTGCTGAATTGTAAGTTTTCAAGTTTTGTCTTTTCTTATAGCTTCTATCAGTCCTTAATCAAAGTTTTGTATTTCCTTAATTCATTTAAAATCGTTTTGTGATAATAAGTACAAAAAATTATTAAGTAGATGAAATATTGGACTGGTTTTAAAAAACACTGTTTTTCTTTTTTATATTACTAAACAATAATTTAATTTGCTTTTCAAAAATTATTAAATTTCATCGAGGCTTTTTTAACATGAAAAATAATCTACATGATCCTTTACCTATGATTACCTAGAAATAGGACCATACGGTATAAAATATTATATCACCTAGAAATAGGACCATACGGTATAAAATATTATATCACCTAGAAATAGGACCATACGGTATAAAATATTATATCTTATGTTATTTCTCAACTTCATCAAGTTATAGCAATCAAATTAAATAGATTAATTAATGTAAATTACAAGAGCAAAAATTCTTACCAAATACAATACACCACAACAAACAAATATATGTCAGTGAGTCAATGAGAGTATATTTTATAGTATAATTGTTTGAAATCAGTATGTTATATTTTGTTTACACTTTACTAGTGCTAGTGTATGTTCAAAGTGATTAAACTATCTGCTTTTTAAACTTGTTTGATTTTCTTTATTTTTGTAAAAAAAAGGGAGACAATCACTAACAAAAAGTGGAAGAAAAACAGGCAACACAATGGCCAAAAGAAAAACAATGAATAAACAAACAACAGTCCACAAACACTGGATAGTTAGGTTTAGAAGCATTTATCAGATTCTGCTGTTTGCACTTCATCTTAAGTCTTGTATGGATGACTACCATTTCACAAGAAAGGTTTCATCAGTTTCATTATACACAATACTTACTTTTAGTAAGCTTAGACTGGTCCGTGTCAATTTTGTGACATATATTTTTATTGATATAACCTATGCAGAGAAATAATCAAAAGCAACCCTTGCCTGAAATGTAAATTGAAGAAGCTTCAATTTTTTATATTGCACTTCATTACCAGTACTAGCAAATATATATATACTTATGTATAGCCCATTGAATGCTGCTGATCCCAATTTTTGCATCATGATTTCTCTAGAATTTGGAAAAGCCTTGCTTTACAGTTTCCATTGAAAAGACATTTAAAAATTGGCCAATTCCATGCATAATTTATACCAAATTTGTTGTAAAGGGTCTCCTAATTATCATTCGTATAAATATGAAAATAAAGAAATGGGGTATGATTTCCAGTGAGACAACTATCTATAAAGACCACACTGCAAAGATGTGAACAATTATAGGTCACTGTATGGCCTCCAACAAAAAGCTAATTCTAAACTGCATAGTAAGCTATAAAAGGTCTCAGGATGACAAAGTATGAATGAATTCAAAGGAGAAAACCAACAATCTGATTTTGACTTTGTTATACAACAATAAACTAAAAACATTTAATATGTCAGATAACAACTAACAACAACCACTAGGTTACAGGATCCTGACTTAAGACTAGCACATTTTTGTGAGTCCTCCCCTCCCCTTACCTGGAGAGTAGTGTAATGCTACAAGAAACTAAAAATCAGTTTGAAAGGACTTGACTCATCAGACAGTTCTCAGCACAAAAACAAAAAAAAAATTAAAAAAAAAAAAAAAAAATGCGAGTCCTCCCCTCCCCTTACCTGGAGAGTGGTGTAACACTACAAGAAACTAAAAATCAGTTTGAAAGGACTTGACTCATCAGACTGTTCTAAGCACAAAAAAAAAAAAAAAATAAAAACAAAAAAATGAGACACAAAGTATGGATTTAAGAGCACTTGCAGTTACTGTATATGTACACTAGTATCTGTGTTAAGTTCTTTTTTAAATATATGTTCAAATATTGTCTTACTTTAATGTTTTTATTGAGGAAAATGCACAACAAGCCTATTTTACTGATGTTTTACAGATGTTAATCTTTGCTGGACATTGATTAATAAATATTGGAAAAAAATACATACAGAATCTTAAATTCTGTCCAATTTTCAAGGAGCAGGATACATTTTTAAATTCTACAAATTTCCAACTATTAAGTTTTCAAAGACAGTGGACTACAAATGTCACAAGAGATTAAAAAACGATTGAACATACACATACACATGTTTTTTCTCTTTCAATCCATTCACTTGAACCTGGGTGTCAAAAGTAACTGAAACGTCAGACTACTAAAATCAAAGATCATGTAGGAGGTCCAATTGGCAACACCAGACACACAAAAAATGAAAGTGCATGTAAGCACTAATTGGTAAAGATTACTTTCATTTTGCAATTTTGCATTGCAATGGAACACATTTAAGCAATATTTTGAATTGGAGTTATCTTCCTTTGTCCATAATTGTAATTAAACATGAATCTTTTTTTTTTTTTGGAACGGACTGGTTCATACTAAGTCTTATGAATTTTCAGTAAAAAATCATTTTCTTGAAAAGAGTGGTTAAAAACATAAACATCATTTTGCATCTTGAATATATGAGTATATATTATTAATCAATTAATAATTGCTTGACCTGGGCATGGACATGATTTAAACAATGTTCACCTCACTGCACTATGTTGTTTGGAGTCTCCAAGGTGCAGATGAGGCTTAGAAGATATATTTCTCAAGCCAGTGACATAAGGGTTTTGATTTCATTGTCTGCAACCTTTATCCAAAAAGCTATATAAACTACAGACCAAGTAAATCAAGAATGAATTGTAGCATCAATTTCATGAAGGGGTAATATGAATTTAAAATCGAGTGAACAATGAAGTTTCTTGGTACAAACATCTCTCAAGGGTTGAAAGTCTGCTTTTCTTAATTGTTTTATGGACGCAATCGAGTATCTGCTGTAATGAAATAACTCATTACTGTGCCACAGATCACAATGATTATGACCCACTTATCGTAACTACAACCCTGTTTTCCAGTTTTGAATATGCACGAAGAAGTTACAATTTGACGTTAAGCAAGCAACAATCTATCAATCAATTGCTTGTGACATCACAAAATGGGAATTATCACCAGATACTTACTTGCCATGCACAACATGACTTTGCCACTTTTCATGTTGACTGCAGGAACTCAGCGCTATACCCTGCATTCCAGAGCACATGTGTTCTCTCCTGGTTTTTGATTGAGTTCGTTTTGTCAAGTGTTTTGTCGACTTTCGTTTGTCTATATCTATTTTTCCTTTAACTATGGTGTTGTCTGTCTTGGTTTTTACTTGTGGGTTGGGTATCGCCTCCCCAATTTCTAGCTCACCTGTCCCAAACAGGACCAGTGCGAGTTATTTCCGTCACTTTCATTTATATTTATATTTCTCCTATGAAACCATTTAGTGTGACAATTTGAACCAAATATAGTCACAGTTAACTTAAGAGTATCTTCCTTTAAAATAAGAGATGCAATCCAGATTTAGCGATCACAAATTCTCCCACCTGCAGCAAATGAGAGATCATAATTTTGTTTCTGTAGTAGCATGCTATGATTTTTTTTAAGATGTTGTAATATTTATGCCATGGTTCAAAGGCAGTTTATATGTATTATTTTTTTCTGTATACCTTCAAATATTCTTTGGTGCCATTTAGTTCAATTCTATGTAAATATGATATCAACAGTGAAATTCAATGATAACCATCGAAGTACACCATTCCTGAATGTTGTCCTAAGTCAGGAACCTGATGTTCAGTGGTTGTCGTTTGTTGATGTGTTCTGTAAATGCCACCTTTTCATGATGAACAACTTCGATTGGGAAGTCCTCTTGAAGTTTGAATGGTTTTACACTAGTCATTTTAGGGCCCTTTATAGCTTGCTGTTCGGTGTGAGCCAAGGCTCCGTGTTGAAGGCCGTACTTTGACCCTATTATGGTTTACTTTTACAAATTATGACTTGGATGGAGAGTTGTCTCATTGGCACTCATACCACATCTTCTTGTATCTATTTTCTTTATTTGCTCTGTCATGGAATACACAAATGTGTTTTCTGTGACCCTGACGAGTGTCATCAAACCAAAATATATATGGGGCCTCGGTGGCCGAGTGGTCTAAGTAGTCCAACTACTGTATCACTAGCCAGTCAACACTGAGGTTGAGAGTTCGAATCCCGCACGGGGCAGGTGCACTCGACTCCAATCTTAATTGACTAGGATTGTCAGTTTTCCTACCGAAGGTCGGTGGTTCTTTCCGCCGGTAATCCGGCTTCCTCCACCAATAAAAACTGACCGCCACGAAATAGCACGATAGTGTTGAAAGTGGCGTTAACCACTAATCAATCAAATAAAAAAAAAATGGTCCCCATGGTTAAAAAATGTTATAGACATGGACATGATAACGATTAAAATAATATGAAACTTAAAATCTAACAAAAAAGTTGGATATGTTTTGCTATAAAACACGTGTACATAGACTTTCTATTATAAGATAATATTAATTTTTATATTAAAATCGTCTAATTTATCAAAATGATCTTTAAAAATGTAAGTGCTATTGAATTATCGTCTTCCTGTACTCTAATTCGCCGGACAGCTTTTCCGTATGCAGTTACCTTAACCATGAAATGTCTCGTTAAAAATTGGGCAACCACACAGCGCAAGTCCGAAGGGAAAAACGCTATGAAATATAACGTAAATAAACGTCAAGAATATCTTATCAATCGATTCTGAAAGAAAACTTTTAATACACTAAATCATGTATCAATTGTATGACAAAGTTTAACTAGCTTATTAGAACGCATGGGCAATATTAAAAACCCAAAGAAACATCGATCTATCAACACACTCATTTTTTTACGTGCTCCTTGATTCTATGTTGATTGTTTATTGAGCCACAATCGGCAAACCTCGGTACAAAAATCCAAAATTTCATTAGCAGCCAAAGTTTTCGATCACCAATCATGGGTGAAACTTTTTTTGTGTCGATTATACGTTACAGATCATTATAAAATATAAATATTAAAAACTCACACAGAGGACTAAGTTTAACATATATGCATGCATAGGTTTAATAATTTCTTTATCATCATAAACACCAGAAACTCGTTTCACATGACTTTAAACACAGACTGGGATTCAAGATCTACCTATACTAACTATTTATAGAAAAATTGTCAAACCACTCCTTATAGGAGTCATTGCCCACAGATGACGCTTTTGACAAATTTAAGCATTTTTGCTTATTATCTGTCAAACTATAACAGATCATAACAGAAAGATAGAAACTTTGAAGAGCAAAAACCAGCATTGTAAGATCAACACAGAAGTCGATATGATTGAATTCGTCAATCGACTTTATAGAAATTATGGACAATATATGGCAATTTCTTTTACTATCTTCAAAACTATAAATAGCTAAACGGCAAAAATGATTAGAAAGATCAGATCTACAAATTTGTCAACTTTGAAAATGATTGAAATTGCCAACTGACTAATAACAGAGACATATATACACATACGTGTATATACGTCTCAGCTATTAACACGAGTTATTTCTTTTTACCCATTTGAGTAATTTTACCTTGTAAAAGAAAACTGCAAAAGACAAAGAGAAAATGATCAGCAATACAAAAAGTTACACGAAAGAAACTCTGCAAGGGACTCCTTATGGGAGTTAGCGTCCGTTTTTTGCGTTTAGCTATTATCTTGAAAATTATAACAGATATTTAGAGTAATTCTAAGGAGCAACATAAATATGCAAAACAAAAAGGTCAACACGACTGAAATGTCAATTGACTTCATTTAGGAGTTATTGCCCTTAAATGCTTTTTTGATCTATTCATGCAATTTGTTGCTATTACCTGGAAAGTCTAGTGGACAAAGAAAAAATGAAGACAGCATAATTTATTAGCAAGATATGATCTACAAAGGTCAAAGATAATAACCAATCTCATCAATTGACTCCTCAAAGAAGTCATTATTCATTTCTGCACTTTTGGCTATACCATCTAGAACACAAAAATGAATAACAGCAAAATATAAGACTTCTTAATATTCCCTAGGGTACGTACCAGGTGAACGATTCAGCCTCATCGGAGCCTCTACTTTTATTCATGTATATATATATATATATATATATATATATCGGTGATCCGTTTATTTGGCAATCGCCAATGGCAGTCAGCAGGGTTTAAGAACATTTGTTGTTCGACCTGTTAGTCAAATGCGTTTTGTTAAAATATACTTTTTCACTCTTTTGGTCTTTTGGAAAATGTTGTTTGTGCTGTATTTAGACCCCTCTAACAAGAAATTTGTTTTGCATGCACACGTATAAAAATTGCGGTTTTTATCCAACGCAATCATAGGTTTGAACGTTGTTTTCAATTTAGACTTGTTTATATATATATATATATATATATTTTAAAACAAAAGACGAGTACACGTCTAATATATATTCGGACAGATAAACAATTTGAAAAAAGCGATTGCAAGATGTAGTTTTGCTGCATTCATCTCACTTCTTAATTGTAGGGAATATTTCAACCATTTGAATCCTTGCCAATGGTCCCCTTCATTAAAATAGCACCAGGCCAATATGTTGCATGCAGTTTCTCTGTGTCCGAAGTCTTCGAAATTCATAATAACCCATTTTAATTTCTCCAAGTTTCTTGTGGCATTTTGTAACTTTTGGTTTCGTTTATTCATCAAATAGTGCAGAAATAATGCTAGAGGAAGACAGTCTATAACGCAACATTCATGCCAGAAACCAAGACGAAGATCAGCACATAAATGCTTACTCGATCCAACATGTCGATAGAACTCATATATCAACGGACCAAATGTTAGTGGTTTTTCTGTTGGTAAGAACATCACACAGAATGCCATACAATTTTCAGTTACAGTCTGGAATGAAGGTTCCTCCTCCAACAGCCAAGTAGCAAGATCCTTATTGACCTTTACATTGAAATTCCAACACCGACAAACTTGGCATATAAAGTTGGAACTCTTCTCTCGGATGTAATCTAAAAGTTTTGTTTCGTTTTCAACATCATCAGTTACATGATATATAACAGCTCTTTTCAAAATCGAGGAAAACAGATCCGGACTATGCTCTGTCTCTAGATGATCTAAAGCAAGATTGATCAACCTAGTTAGGTTGAAAGAAATCCCCAAAGAAACACATTGCGCCCAACGGCTCGTATTAATGAAACGAATCATCCACCCTGCAAATTTTCTCTCCGAGTCTTTGCCATTTTCCGTGATTTTTACAAGTCGTTTTATGGCGACAAAATGACGTAGGATTGAAACTTCAGTGCTCTTACTCCGATACAAATGACTAAATATTCTGTTTCTGCTGTATGACATTGCGTTTGCAATATTGTAATATTCGTTGAAAATCTCGCAGTCAAGATTTTTTTGAATGGTTAAGTTGTAAAATGATGTGTATTGCCTTAAATTAATCCACAATCCTGAACACTGTTTTGCCAATGCTTCTCCAAAATTGTCATAAGGGATTTTAAGTAGGTACTTCCCTTCATCTCGTAACAAACAACGTAATAATAATTCAAGTTTACCACGGACCAAGCCTTCAATTTTGTTGTTAAATAAATTTTCATCCCTTTTAAAATAATGTGGACAGTTTTCCACTTCAACCCACTCCAAAATTCTTCTTAACAGCAGCTCTAAACACGAAAGAATGTTGTCACGCCGCCAAAAACTTTTCTTTGTTTCGGTTGAGAGGTAGAATAAACTGTTTTTACAGTGGAAACTGGACAAGGATTCTCCAATCACTGGCTGAATAAATGTCCCTTTAATCATTTTCAACAGAATATAGCATTTCATTTGGGTATCATTCAAACTGTGAATTAATCTTTGTTCAAGGAAAGAAAACGAAAGTCTCCATTCTAGTTTTGTCTGTGAGCTAAATGGGTGGCCAACTGCTACTACTAAAGCTGGACATGTCTTAGTGGATAATATATTGTGTTGTCTGGATTGTTTTGACCAAAGGCCTGTTTGGATTCGATATTTCGGAACTACTAAAGCATATACTACATCTCTCGACTGGAATCCTGGTTCTTCGTCATAGGTAAACGCCGGACCATGTTGGTCAAACTTAGGCATGTTAGTACGATCTTTGAAGCATGTGTTTCTAAGAACTATGCGCCCATGTTGGTCAATCACATGTAGACTATCTAACAATATATCTGGCTCTGGCTTGTCCGTTTTTAAACGCTGTAATTTAACGTACCCAGGAAATGATAATTCATCTGCCACCATCAGATAGCAATGTTTATTTGGTACCCAGTCTGTCATATTTTGAATGACAATACAATTTTCAGGACACAGTACCTGATCAATATCAGAATTCATGTCAAATGTTGTAGCTCCCTCGGAAAGACTTCCAAACGAATATGTAACTAAAGGCTCGTTCCTACATTTTATAGTGACGTTTATTGCTGCCTCTATTAGCTTTGTTTTCATCTGTCGTCTGCGTCTTGCTTTGTCCGAAGCTCCGATTCCATCAAGTACTTCATTAATTGCTAGTGAAATCTTACGCCTCTTTTTAACAAACATTGCAATATTCTTGCTGTAAAATAAGAAAATACGTAGAGGCATATTGCTGTTATCAATTTGAATTCAGTTAGGGTTTTGAATACCCCCTAAACCTTGCGCTTTTACTATGCCTTCAATACTGTGAGACTGGGTCTTTTTGCTTCCCTTTTAATTCAGTTTCAAGCGACCTACCTGGATTTCCAAAAGGGATAAAAACGTGACCGAAAAGTTTAGAAAGCAAGGAAAAAATCCTACGAGTTGCGTTATACATATATGGTAAAAAAAACCATCAAGGAATACTGTAGATAGATATGTGCGATATTTGTAAAATGTATTGGTTTCTACAAACTCGGGAGAAGATATTATGTCCCAACTAAAGTCATATATATCCAGTGTAGGGATTCAAATGTCTGGATCTTTTTACATTGTATCGGTAAAAAGCAGTCCAATTAAAATTGATATCCGTGTAAAAATAACAAGATGTGGTATATTCATCAGTACCAAACGACTCACATGTAATCAGGTTTGCTTCTTCGTTTCAGTTCCATGCAGAATTAAGACTCAGCCCCAGAGTCATACTTCAGTGAACTTTAAATTGCAGCGTTGTTCGATTGTTTTTTTTTAATATCATTTGCCGAGATATTGAGAGGTCTATTTTTGTCATGCTACTGTGAATTACGTTGCTCGATGATAAAGTTTTCCCGAAGAACTAAAAAAGGAATTTGAATAAATCCGACAGTTTGTCAAATCATAGCCGTACAATATGGTATAACATGTCTCTGGCCTGTCAAATAACCGATTTTCTATAGAGATGCAAAGCAAATAACACTGTGCCATTAAACAATTTAATTGCGTAAAATGAGTTAATATACCATATACCTACTATAATTGGAATATCAAATAACTGTTCACTCAAAGTGAATTTATATTTACACCCGGAAGAAAAACTCTCCAATTATCGACAGCCTTTTCCGTTTCACCTCTTTCCGTAGATATAGATATAAAAACAAGTTTGAGCTTTCTAAAAAGCTGTGGACTGCTTCGCTCTATCCTAATTTAAGGTAATATGTGTGCATCTGGTTGTTGATTTAGAATTGGAAATGTGGTATTTTTAGATATTGATTGATATAAAATGGATGTCTTAGACTTGGAATATCAATTTTTGTATATATATTAAGATGAACTTTTCTGAAATTTTAAACTGGCTGTTCAGTGTTTAGTTGTCAATGTGTTTTTGTGGAGTGTGGTTTTCTAGTTCTTTCAGGTGGTCATTAACTTGCGATTTTGATTGCTAGTTCTGTATATAATTTATTTAGATATATATGAATGTTTAGGTATGTTGATTAAGAGTAACATGATTTCGAGTGATGAAGACAATAACAATCAAAACCAAGGAGTAAACAAAGACGGCTTGTACAACCAAAAGATATTTACAACAGTTAAAATAAATAAGAAACAGCAATAAATATTTAGTTTCAGTGAAAATAATGTTGTTCTACTTTAAGAGTGTACGTTATACACCCATGCTTTTAAAATTTTGTTCACTTTACTTGTTGAAAATTAAAACATTTACAAATAGACACGACTCTGGAGGTGTGCCTAGATTGGCAGAAGTCATAAAATACAGATAATGCATATTTGTAAACATTGTATAGGAACATTGTTTAGCAAAACAAATCGTGCATATTGCAGATTAACAAAGCAAATAAACACGTATTAATAATTGATATTTCAATATTGAATTTCAGTGTGCAATATATGCATAATAAAACAAACATGAATTTATGACAGTTGATCGGAACTGAAATACACATAGTTAATTTTCCGGCATTTGATGTCTTATCCTGAGACGATGCCAATAGCTGTTGCTGTACCTCAGCCGCATCATAAAGCAACCAATCAGAATCTATGTGTGATAAGTATTTATTTCAACATGGCGTGTATATCGACTGAAACTAATAGCTCCGCACCGTGATGCGAAGCAATAACCTATGTATAATGACATGGATGACCATCCTACTCAAAATTAATTGTTTGTTTAACTAGCATCGATTTTGTTAATACCCAGATACATGCAATTATCATATTTACACCTAAGTAAAGTGTGGGCACAGATTAGTGTGGAACGTAATTGTTGTCATAGTACATTGGGACTTTCACACTGTATCTTGCATGCTATAAATGGTTATACAGTTTCTATGACCAACTTCTGGAAAAAAGCACAATCGTTTGCGGAAATACGAAATTCCTATTTTATTACAAAACTGTTAACTGAAATACCAAATTCATCAGGAAACAAGTGCGTCGCATGCAAAACTACTTTGATGATGTCTATGCACATGCATGTTGTTCCTGCATTTGTACAACAGAGCTGCGTGAATTGTGGTGGAATATGATTATTGAGAATTTTTCACTACAACTGTATTGCGAACTAAGTGAATATGATGATGAGGATGTTTATCAAATTTTACTTGGACGAATTCCATTAAATGTCATTGCCGAACATTCGGAGTTTGAGAAGCTTTGCCACGTCCATGTTGTTCAATGCATAGCAACATATGGACGTTGTGTCAGGTTAGGCAATACATGATATGTCATCATTCAAGATTGCATAAGGACTTTATGCCGAGCGACTAAAGTGTATTTTGTCTGTATATGTAAAAAACTTTTTTGTTCTGTTCCTATTTCGTTTATTCATTTTGTTGTGTGATATTTAATTAATTCTGTGTATTCATTATATCTCAATTATGAGGAAATAAAGACATGAATGAATGAATGAATGAATGAAAGAATGTATCTTGCATGCTATAAATAGTTATACTGTGGAAATATAATCCCCTTTATTAGTTTCAATCTAGGAAAGGACTAACTGGTATCTTTTTAAAAAATTTGAATCTATCGGCTTTACTTCTATTTATATTTACGGTATGGTGTTTGCCTTCCTAAACCAAAGGGCCAACTCAATATTCAACAAACTCTCTGTTGTGCATGATACTGGACACTAAATGGTTAACTTAAAAGTCAACAGAGTCCCTGTTGTGAATGATAATGGACACTAATTGGTTAACTTAATAGTCAACAGACTCCATGTTGTGTATGATACTGGACACTAAAGAGTTAACTTAAAAGTCAACAGGGTCCTTGTAGTGAATGATACTGAAGACTTAAGGGTTAACATAAAAGTCAACAGAGTCCTTGTTGCGTATGATACTGGAGACTAAAGGATCAACTTAAAAGTTAACAGAGTCCTTGTTGTGAATGATACTGGACACTAATGGGTTAACTTAAAAGTCATCAGAGTTGTGTATGATACTGGACACTAAAGGGTTAACTTAAAAGTCAACAGAGTTCTTGTTGTGTAGGATACTGGAGACTAAAGGGTCAACTTAAAAGTCAACAGTCCTTGTTGTGAACGATACTGGAGACTAAAGGGTCAACTTAAAAGTCAACAGAGTCCTTGTTGTGTATGATACTGGAAACTAAATGGTCAACTCAAAAGTCAACAGAGTCCTTGTTGTGTATGATACTGGACACTAAAGGGTTAACTTAAAAGTCAACAGAGTCCTATTTGTGAATGAGAATGGACACTACCATCTTCGCTAGCCAAGGGTTACGATCCACTTCCCTCCTCTCCACGTGGGAGGATAGTGGGCACTAAAGGGTAAACTAGTCAACAGGGTCCTTGGTGTGAATGATACTGGACATTAAAGGGGTCACCTAAATAGTCAACAGAGTCCTTTTTGTAAATGGTACTGAAAACCAGAGGCTCTAAAGAGCACGTGTCACTCACCTAGGTCTCTGTGCATCATCAACAATGGACACTCTAAATTGTGGACTAGCCAAGAATTCAGGACTAAAATCTCTTTTTTGTTGATCTTGTATTGCTGATTTTTTTTATGTTTACTCTAACAGTTTCTCTCCATCTTCATTTTTTGCCCATAACACAAAAAAAAAAGGTAACAAGAGTGCACACACTGAAATGTCTTGCCTGGTTTACTTCCCATTGATTTTATGTTAATAGTCCTAAATATAAAGTTTTACTACAAGTATTACATAAATTTAACGATCAAAGAAAATGAGGTCAAAGTCAGATAATCAAGCCAGAAATACATGTATACCTTACAATAACTCCATACAACAAATATAGCTGACCTATTGCTTATAGTATACAAGAAACACACCAAACCATGAAAACTTTATATTGAACAATGAACCATGTAAATGAGGTCAAGGTCAAATGAACCCTGCCAGACAGACATGTACACCTTACAATCATTCCATGCTTTAAATATAGTTGACCTATTGCATATAGTATCTATGAAACAAACTTAACCAGGAAAACTTAACATTGACCACTGAACCATGAAAATGAGGTCAATGTCAGATGACACCTGCCAGTAGGACATGTACACCTTACAATCATTCCATACACCAAATATAGTAGACCCATTGTTTATAGTATATGCGATATGGACTTTACCACGAAATCATAACCTTGTTCACTGATCCATGAAATGAGTCAAGTAAAAACTGTCTGACAGACATGAGGACCTTGCAAGGTACGCACATACCAAATACAGTTATCCTTTACTCATAATAAGAGAGAAATAAAGATTACAAAATATCTTAACTTTTTTTTCCAGAAGTCACTGAACCATGAAAATGAGGTCAAGGACATTGGACATATGACAGATGGAAACTTCATAACACAAGGCATCTATATACATTATGAAGCATCCAGGTCTTCTACCTTCTAAAATATTTAAGCTTTTAAGTAGTTAGTTAACACCACAGTCACCAGATCACTATCCCTATGTGTCGCTTTCTGCGACAGAAGTTGCAGGCTCGACAAAAATCATCAATTAAGGGCAATAACTCCTTTAAAGAGTCTACTAATGATTTTGGGCAAATTAGATTTATTTGTAGATCCTGCCTATCTTTTTTAATTTTTAGAGTATCTTATTTTTAATAGTCTAAAATGCAAAAAACTGTAATTAGAGTGACAGAACTCCAATAAGGAGTTGTTTGGACTTATAAATATTGTCTTACTGATCATTTTTGCTTATTTTAGTTTCTTTCTATCTATTATAATTTTCAAGATAATAGACAAAAATTTTTAAAAATTGGTAAAATTCGTTATTAAGCCAATAACTCCTATAAGAAATCGTCTGACAGTTTTGACGAAAATGGACAATAGGTATATCTCAACATTTTGAACATTTCTGCCCCTGTCAAATTTTTTTCTAGATAATAGACAAAACTTGCATTTTACCCCTATGTCCTATTTTTAGCCATGTCAGCCATGTTGCTTGGCAGACATGGTCATCAGTTTTTAAACTAGATACCCCTATGATGATTGTGGCCAATTTGGTTAAATTTGACCCATTAGTTTCAGAGGAGAATATTTTTTGTAAAAAGTATTGAAGACAATGGATGCCAAGTGGTGAGAAGAGCTAACTTCAGGTGAGCTAAAAAAGCAAATAAACAAAATAAGAGGTAGTTTTCTTTTATTGACTTTTATCACAGACAGTAACTGTCAATTTTATTTGTTCTGTGCAAAATACTTTAAAAAAAAAAACAAGAAAAAAACTACACAAAACAAATATTTATCTAGAAATTTTTAACTCATAAGCAACATAATATTTACTGATATAAAATAATAATAATAAAACTGTTACATGTATCAACTATTACAATAGATTTGGCACGTCAGCACTTCTGAAATTAACAAATATTGCTATAACTGAAAATTCAACAAATCCTGAACGTTAAGGGTTTTGAGTTGTCAAATCTTGAGAAAAAGGAAAAAATAGCACTCACAATTGATGAATATATTAAAAAGCTAAAAAAGCAAACACCTTCAAATCAAACCACCGGTATCCATACAGAAGAAAAGTCCTTAGGGTAATATCATACTACTGACATGCAAACAGTATTTAATACAGGCTGTCCAATTCAAACACATGGCCCCTACATGGAATTTATTTTAATACATGCTCTTTTTCCAATGTTTTTAAAATAAATTTTTAACACTTTCATACATTTAATTAAATGATATGAATTTTAAAAAATCCTTAACAAAGATTTGCTTAAATACTTCTTTTTTGTAGTTTGAAATGATTTAAAACGTTTTTAAGGAATTGTAAAAAAAAAATGAAGATAAAATATTATATAGAAAGGTAAAAATATTAAGCAGAATATATCTGATACTTATATCTCAACAAAAACTTCAGTAATAAATCTACAAAATAATCATCCATATCAAATCAATTTAACATACTTTCAAGCTATTGTAACAAATAAAATTATACTTGTATGAGGGTTCTATTTCATACCCATATAAACAAACTTTATAAACTGTACATTTTTAAAAAGAACAAAAAAATGAAATCCTGTTCATCTTCTGAAATTTTGTACAACATAAACTGTTTAAAGACAAGCAAAGATAAAGTTCGTACAGAGGAGTCCAAAAACAAATTTCGTCTTATTTGCAGTAAACCATTAGTTCTATACAAAGTACAATGATACAAATGTAACTGCAATTTTCTGCTTAGACTTAGTGTATAACAGGTCTGAAAATTCATTTTTTATGCTTTGTACCTTTACTGTGTGATTACAAATTAGGACATACAAATATTTCACCTGCATAATTGATTATATCTGAATAATATGAGGCAATGATTTTAGGTTCAAGCGATTCATTTAAAAGAAATATGGAGGCATTTAGAGCTCACACTTCAGAATCATAGGATGAAAGTGACTTCTTAAAGAGAAAAAATACTCATGAAAATTTCAGTATAACTTACGATCAATTTTTATAGTAAGATTTTTTGTAAAAACAGCCTCTAAAATTATTTACTTGTTTTGTACTCCATCATTCATTTTACTTCGTTTTTTTCAATATTTTTCTCTGCCTTTCAGTCTCTACATAAATTCTAAAAACATTTTAAGGGCTACTGTACGATTTTCTGGGCAAATGGATTTTATATCATTACAAGAAAAGTTTCTTCATTCAAGTTGCTCATTAGCTCAAACAAAGACAAAATTCACAGATATAACACCAAAGACAAATGTTAAGGAAAACTGATAAATGTCAAATGAAAACATAAGACAATAAGGCATCTTTTTGTAAAGTGTGTATCACTAGCCTGTCAACACTGAGGTTGTGAGTTCCAATCTCGCACATGGTATGTTTGCTCCACTCCAATCTTAATTGATTAGGATTGTCTGTTTTCCTACCGAAGGCCGGCTCCCTCCACCAATAAAGAGTGACAGCCACGAAATAGCACAATAGTGCTAAAAGTGGTGTTAAACACCAATCATTCAATTAATGTGAAGTGTGAATTGTCTTGCTCCTCTGACATATAAAATAACCAAGTTTTGTAGAAAAAGTTGACACTGTCTTACCATCTCTACAAAGTTTACTCCCAACTTGCTTTCCGAAAAAAATTGAATTAGATTGTTTATCAGTTAGGCTTAATAGTGTTTTAAATAAAACTTGTATTTAAAAAGTGTAAAATGTATAGGATGACATGAAGGTCGACATAAACCAGTCACAACAAGTTATTATCAACACAGGCATAATGTCTGATTGAGTGTATTTTGCTAAACATTCAGTAACCAACATTACAGGCATATACAAAACCATGTGATCATTGTGTCATATTTAACAACTGTAAAGAAAACACCACAAAAACTGTAAAGTAAACAGCACAAAGAAATATCCTAGTTAATATTCATTTTTTGGTCTTTTCCACTAAAAGATTAAGTTTTCATAGTTTCATATGCATATTTTATGAATAATTCTTTAAAATGTAAAAATCTGGTTTATAAACACCTCCTTCAAAAATTTGTATGTATAAAATTATAAAAAATACAAGACAATTGGTTAAGAACATAATTCTGTATTGACATTCAAAACTTCGATGATACTTCGGACTGTAGGAAAAACTTCTGTAACAGATGGTAACTGTGAAACTGGTACAGCTAATCTAAAAATAGAAGTTAATCTCAACATTTAAGGAGAATTCAGAAAGAGAATATGCAAAATTCAAGCAACATACAATATGTAATGCTTTAAATTGCTGAGTCTAAAAAATGTCTTTCATCCACATCAAATTTCTGAACATTGATAAACTGACAAGGCTAATGAATTGGTATTAAGTAGAGAAAGACATTTCAAGGCATTTTATGTGATCAGAAATATGAATAATAGAATATACACAAGAAGTCACATATATTTTGGTACATTTAGTCAATAATGTCTATAAAAAACCTGTAGTAACCATTTTTCTATAAAATATAAATCCTAGAAAGTTGTATTTTTTTCATGGTGATTATCAACTTCTGCTAGCTTATCAAAATCTTGGGACTTGAAACAGACAATATTTTTGAAGGTGATCATCAACTGTGCATGTCTGGTCTCCCTGAGTGGTTTTGTAAGCACAAGAATTGACTGACAAATTATTCTGGATTTTTAAACTCAGCGCAAAATAAAATAAACTATTGAAAGCTTGTTGAACTCTACCGTAAATAATTGGAAAGCCCACAAGATAATAAACTGAACAGATTTCTATAAATAATGACTATGTACAAAGTCTTTAACATAACAAGGAAACATTGCAACAAATAGTTAAGTTTATACTTAATATGAGTGTAAAATACCTATTTGGAGTTCATGCAAACAATGAAAACAAGAACAGGCCACCAGTGATTGGAGAAAAATTGTATGATAACTGCCTGTACTCAAACTAAAGAAATAAGATACCTACTTTTTATTTTGCATCCACTGTTTAGTTACAAGAATGAAGGCATCTGGAGCACCAGATAACATGGCCTCCATCTCTAATAACTGAAAGAAAAAAATACTCCCAAAATAACTTCTAGTTGATGATAGTAATCACAATTTCAAACAGATACTTTTTTCACAATTCAAAAGCTTTATGCATTTAATAGTTTAATACTGAAGCAAGTTTCTGATGTACAAAAATCAACAAATACACAATCAAACTATAGAGTAACAAATAGATAAACACAGCAATTACCTTTCCATTGGGAACTTTTCCTGTCACCTGTCTACCAACAGACATTAACAATCCTAAGGCCACTGAGTAAGCTACCACACTGTAAAATAATAGAGTTTTCAATGTATGAAAATCCTAAAACCCCTGATTCAATTTTCTTTTAAAACTTGTGATTACATTTAATGTAATACTTAATAGTGACTGGAAGTGGGAATCATAATAACCAATATACCAATAACAATAGGACACCATGCCCCACTAACATTAAAATATACCAATAACAATAGGACACCATGCCCCACTAACATTAAAATATACCAATAACAATAGGACACCATGCCCCGCTAACATTAAAATATACCAATAACAATAGGACACCATGCCCCGCTAACATTAAAGTATACCAATAACAATAGGACACCATGCCCCGCTAACATTAAAATATACCAATAACAATAGGACACCATGCCCCACTAACATTAAAAGTTCACATCATAATGAACATGTGTATAAGTTTCAAAGTTGATGTGACTTCAACTTCATGGTTAAAGTTTTTGGTCACGTCAACTAAAAACTTAGTTCATATGTTTATTTAGAGGTGTACTTTTAAATTATATGCCAAATTACAATTTAGGCCCTGATTTCAGGGTTCACTAAAAATGGACAAACAGTTTGAGCAAGGCATGGTATCCCACGGTCACATATTCTTGTTTTAGTTCTCACATTGCTGATTATTTTTTGTTTGTTAAGTTTCTATCCATTGTTGTTTTCAAGGCAACAACTTTAAAATTGGTCAAATAGTCGTTTAAGGAAAATATATTCTATAGGGAGTCATCTAATAATTTTGGAAGATAAGAACAGTATTTAGATTTTGAGACTTTGAGTATTTTTGCCAAATCAGATTTTCTCTATTAAGAATATATTCAAGTTAAAGACAATTATTTGAGTTTTAGCCATGGTGACAGGCTGTCAGGGACAAAAAACATAAACTTTATATTTGATATCCTGATGATATTTTCAGCCATGTATAATTTCAATTGGTCCTGTGGATTCACGGTAACAGATCTATTTAAATCTTTATTAAATGATCAAATCAGCAAATCAGCCCTAATAGGGATAAATCAACATGTGCAATACTGATGATGTTGCCCTGTCGATATAAATCATGAGTTAATATTGCTTTTCGGACCAGTCCAATACAGAAAAAGCCGTATTGGCCCATGGGCTAATACAGGATATTCACTTCTGGTTTCAATTTTCTTACTTTTTTTTTACTTAACAATGCATAAAATACATTTGAAACATATTTTGTAACTTTAAATAACATAAAAAAAAATTTAAATGATGTTCCGTGTTTTGTAACGTCTTGAAACGAAAATATTTCACAACCTTTTCGAGTAAAACTTTTGATTATTATCACTGTGTATTTCCGTTGATCAATCATCAGAACGCAGACTTTTCAAGAGTAAGAATGGTTAAAATGTCCGATTTATTCTTCCCAGCTACTTTATATTTGCTAGATAAAATGAATTGTAATAGCATAGATTAAGTACTTGGACGAGAAATCAGAAATTACATTAATGTCGACAAAAGTGCACCGAGACTGCGAAAAGACAAGTTCAAATATGAATTCCTCTATCTTCTTCACGGTAAATTTCTTAGTTTAATCGAAGAATTAAAATCATTTAATAAAAGTGTTATAAACTGGCTGTTTCTGTATTGGCCCTGTTATAGATTCTCTTCCAAGTCTCAGGTCCAATACAGCTAACCTGGAATCTATAACAGAGCCAATACAGAAACAGCCACTTGATAACACTATATTACAATGTCCATAGCTGCAAACCTTTAGCCATGAGAAATAGTCTTAAAATCATAAAAATTAAATACATGTACACTGAACTACTATAAACTATTATTATATTCCCAGTTCTTTTTGGCTATATTTAGAATATCATGAAGTGGTGCATATTCATAACAATTACAGTATTGATTAATTTTCATGTTAGAGAGGAACATTAGTATGTTATGTAACCAAGTTTGAAAATAACGTCTCAGTGTTGATTGTCATCATATTCACGATATTGTTTGCAACTAGGAGAAATGATGAAATTGGTTTGACTGATTTTAACTGCAGCAACATCCCAAATAACTTTATGCTTTATTCAATTTTATAATATTGTTCCCTTGGTTGATATAGTAGAGTTTTTGGTTTTGTCAGCTTTTTATGGACTTCCCCTTTTTGAATTTGCCTTCGAATTTAGTATATTTGTAATTACCTTTTTTTATCACTTTGAGCAGGGCCCAAGATACAACAATATGTTAGTTACAAAGCTTGCAAAACACATAATTTATTTGACCCTTAATCTCTAATTGTTTTTGAGCATGGCAGTTGCCAATCATATTGTTATTCTATCAGAAATTACCTTAGAAAAATAACCAAAATAGCCAAGCAAATTGACATTTAAAGACTTATACACTTGAAAGACATAACACAAATTTTTAACAATTTATCTGTGCATATGTACACAGACATGAGAATTCTTGGTAAAGTATATAAAGTAGTTAACCTGGCTACATCCTGTGTGGTGATGCTTTAGGAGGAAAGAATCAAACAAAAGTTTTTTCCAAAAAAAATCTCATCTTGAGACAACATTAATATCTCTAACTTTACATGTACTTATAGGCTGTTTTAAGTAAACTTACGAGGAGCCTCTTGTTAAAGGCATTAAATTGTAGAAATAATACACTAATGTTAGGATGATGTTCACCACAGAATCCACATCCTACAATAAACAATCATTCTAAAACTTTATTATACACAATAATCAACATTTAACCTATTCAAATTTAAAGTTAATAGAGATTTGAAGTTAAGTTATATATTTGATGTACTGATAAACAACTTTGTATGTTTGAAACTATGCTTGTGGAATAACATCCAAACCTAATTCACAACACAAACACTCATGGTGGGAAACAATTATACCAAGTATCATTTATATTCCTCATGACATTTAATCAGATGGAACTAGTTGTAATATAATTTTATGTATAAACATATGACCACCTTAAAATGAAAGATAACCCTTTTTCTTAAATTTTCCACATTTTTTCTTTGATGAAGCTTCATTTGAATACCTGGATGTTAAGTCCAATATTTACTTCCACACAAATGATGATCACTCGACCATTCAAATGAGGTCAAACCAGCTTTTTTACATATTGTTGCATTCACTGAAGAAGATTTATGTTGATATCACATTTGTTTCAAATCAACCTATCTTAACCCTAACTAGAGGCTCTCAAGAGCCTGTGTCGCTCACCCGATTCTACTTTGGTTTTGGAAATCATGAAAAAATAGATTAAAATCATAACAGATACCCTAATAATGAGTGAGGCCAAATTTGGTTTAATATTGGTCCTGTAATTTAATAAAAAATCCTGGTGGCCATCTTGAACAGTAAATCGGCAACAAAGTAGCAACACTTAATCAGAACCTCATAAGAAACATTTATGCCATGTTTTGGTAACATTCCATTCAGTGCACCTCTAGAAGAAGCATTTGTATGTATTACCCATAGGGTCTTATGTTAAAGGAAGTCCCCCCATTGGCGGCCATCATGGATGAAGGATCAGCTTCAAAGTAACAAAACTTAGTCAGCACCTCATAAGAAACATTCATGCCATGTTTGGTTTCAATCCATTCAGTATGTGGTTCTCTAAAAGAAGACATTTGTATGTATTGTCCATAGGGTCCTTTGTTAAACATTGTCCCCATCTGGCAGCCATCATGGATGAAGGATCAGCTTCAAAGTAACAACACTTGGTCAGCACCTCAAAAGGAACATGCATGCCATGTTTGGTTTCATTCCATTCAATGGTTCTCTAAAAGAAAACATTTGTACGTATTTCTCATAGGGTCCTATGTTAAACTAAGTCCTCCGCTGGCAGCCATCTTAGATTATGGATCGGCTTCACAGAAACAACACTTGATCAGCACCTCATAAGGAACATTCATGCCATGTTTGGTTTCATTGCATTCAGTGGTTCTCTAAAAGAAGACATTTGTATGTATTTCCCTTAGGGTCCTATGTTAAACTAAGTCCCCTGATGGCTGCCATCTTGGATAATGGATCAGCTTCAAAGTAACAACACTTGGTCAGCACCTCATAAGGAACATTCTTGCCATGTTTGGTTTCATTCCATTCAGTGGTTCTCTAAAAGAAGACATTTGTATGTATTTATCATAGGGTCCCATGTTAAACTAAGTCCCCTGCAGGCGGCCATCTTGGATTATGGATTGGCTTCAAAGTAACAACACTTGGTCAGCATCTCATAAGAAACATTCATGCCATGTTTGGTTTCATTCCATTCAGTGGTTCTCTAAAATAAGACATTTGTATGTATTTCCCGTAGGGTACAATGTTAAACTAAGTCCCCTGCTGGCGGCCATCTTGGATTATGGATCAGCTTCATAGTAACAACACTTGGTCAGCACCTCATAAGAAACATTCATGCCATGTTTGGTTTCATTCCATTCAGTGGTTCTCTAAAAGAAGACATTTGTATGTATTTCCCATAGGGTCCCATGTTAAACTAAGTCCCCTGTTGGCGGCCATCTTGGATTATGGATCGGCTTTAAAGTAACAACACTCGGTCAGCACCTCATAAGGAACATTCATACCATGTTTGGTTTCATTCCATTCAGTGGTTCTCTAAAAGAAGACATTTGTATGTATTTCCCATAGGGTCCTATGTTAAACTAAGTCCCCCGCTGGCGGCCATCTTGGATTATGGATCGGCTTCAAAGTAACAACACTCGGTCAGCACCTCATAAGGAACATTCATGCCAAGTTTGGTTTCATTCCATTCAGTGGTTCTCTAGAAGAAGTTCAAAATGTAAAAAGTTAACGCCAATGCCGGACGACGGACGCCAAGTGATGAGAAAAGCTCACTTGGCCCTTTGGGCCAGGTGAGCTAAAAATGAAGTTCTCATTCAACCATGAAATTTTTTGTCATTTAAGCCATTTGACATACACTTTAAAAGAATCATTTCATGAAGTTTCTACTGATTATTTTCAAGCTGATATAATATCAAACCACCGTCTAATCGTAATATTTGCAAGGAGCCGTAAAAATGTACATACAGATAAACAAACATAACAATATGCAATAAAATGCTCCGCTGGGCGCAGCTTGATACGACCGCAGAGGTTGAACCATGAACAGTTGGGGCAAGTATGGACACAACATTCAAGCTTGATACAGCACTGAATTTGGATTGTGATTAAATATTTGACACAGCATAGGTTTCTGACACAGAATGAATGTGGTCTAAGAACTTAAAATTTTTTAATTTACCTATTTAAATCATATCATTATTATTTGATTTTATATATAAATCAGAAATAACCAATTTAAAATGGAAAAATTTTAAAGAAAAAAAAAGGAAAAAAAGGAAAAAAAAATCTCTCCCCCAAATTTTTTGAACCCCCTTATGATTCATCACCCCAAACTCAATCCCAGCCTTCCCTTTGTGGTATGGTACCTTGCAGTACAATTTCAGAGAGATCCATTCACTTGAACACAAGTTGTCGTCTGGAAACTAGAAAAATGCTTGTTTTTAGGCCCCTTTTTGGCCCCAAATTCCTAAACGTTTAGGGCAATTACCCCCAAACTCAAACCCAGCTTTCCCTTTGTGATATGGAACCTTGTGTTACAATTTCATAAAGATCCATACACTTACACACAAGTTATTGTCCTGAAACTAGAAAAATGCTTGTTTTTTCCCCCTTTTTGGCCCTTAATTCCTAAAATTTTGAGGCAATTACCCCCAAAATCAATCCCAGCCTTCCCTTTGTAGTATGGTACCTTGCAGTACAATTTCAGAGAGATCCATACACTTAAACACAAGTTATTGTCTGGAAACTAGAAAAATGCTGATTTTTGGCCCCTTATTCCTAATGTTTTGGGCAATTACCCCCAAACTCAATTCCAGCTTTCCCTTAGTGATATGGAACCTTGTAGTACAATCTCAGAAAGATCCACACACTTACACACAAGTTATTATCATGAAACTAGAAAAATGCTTGTTTTTTGCCCCTTTTTTGGCCCCTAATTCCTAAAATTTGAGGCAATTACCCCCAAAATCAATCCCAGCATTCCCTTTGTGATATGGAACCTTGTGGTACAATGTCAGAGAGATCCATACACTAACACACAAGTTATGTCTGGAAGTTACAAAAATGCTTATTTTTGGCCCCTATTCCTTAACTGTTGATACCATAACCCCCAAAATCAATCCCAACCTTCCTTTTGTGGTATTGAACCTTATGGTAAAATTTCATAGAGATCCATTCACTTAAATAAAATTAGAGTGCGAAAATCAATGTGTCTTCAGACGACGATGATGACCACGCCGACCGCAAAATTTTTTTGCGGTCGTATAAAAACTATATGGTCTTTACTTTCACAGGTAGGACATAAATAATGAACCTACAGTCAATTTAGTTATTCCTGTCCTTTTTATTTCTTCTTGTAACTGATTAAATACTGCATCTAGTTCTGCATGGTATGCTGATGTCCGACTCTTGGAATGTACAACATGGATAGCAAACATCATTTTAGTACTCCTACAAAAGCAAAAATCAAACCATAACTGGTCCCTGCAAACTTGCATATAGAAACAACCAAGAAATGTTCACATGATAATAGGGAACAACCAGAGCAACACTAAAAAAAACCCCAAAAAATGAATGATAGAAATTTCCCTAATATCCTGAAAACCCATATTTTAAACATATGCAAATATATTTACAGCTGCTGTGTCATGACCTTAATCTTTGAATAATCGACCTTAAATTCAATTGCCGTCTTCATTTTTTACCTTAATTAGCACTGTCCATGAAAGTTTTGTATAGATCTGATTTCTGCCAAAAAAGAAACATTTCGCAAAATTCTAGTTCATTCTTAGACAGTGACCTTAACCTTGGACCTACTAATAAAAAAAATGAATATGGTCATGTCGCTGCATTAGGTTATTTAGAAAGAGAGTTTGGTGCTGGACACAATGGTATTGTTCAAGATGTCACCTTGACATAAACATTTTGTCTCAATTTCAGTCTATCAATTACTACTGTGACCTTGACCACTGACTTAAGGTCTTTGTCACACGATTGGGAATTATCAAACCAAATTTAGTAGAAATATTGTTTGGGGCTTTCAAAAGATTGTCCTGTAACCAAAATGTTGACAAGTGGATGGTATTCATTAACTCTGGAATAGTAATTGCAAAATTGCACTTGACCTGCATTTCCCACCTGGTAGTACAATGTAAAAAGGTTGACATCTTACACAAAGTCATAATATTCTTTTCCAAAGGAAACTTCAGTTAACATCTTTAGGATGGACAAACAAGCAAAGTGGTGATTATCCCAAAAAATTTCAGAGCATAAAAAGTTAAATTGTAAAATATTTATTCTAATATGACATGCTTCTTTCGCTTTGTAAACAACACCGTGATAAAATTCTCGATATATCTATACTTAGCGCAGACTCAGAGATATACATAATAATGGATGCTACAATATACCTCCCTCGTAAATCCACATGTATTTGAACCTATTTGCAAACGCTATGCCGATTTTATTGTTTTGCAATTGAAAAAAGACTACAAAACTTTTATTCTTATTCAGATGCATAACAAAAAAAATTAATGCACAAGAGCTCGGAGAAATCTACAAAATCAAAATAAAATAAAATTCCGCGAAAGTCCATTAATGCTTTTGGCGCATTTAAGTCATTTCAAAACATGACGTCATACAAATGAAAACGCTAAAACTGAAGGTTTTTCCGTTATGTGAACTATCGAAATTCATATAATATTACATTAAAATGGATTTTTGAGGTAGGTGTTGTTTTATTTTCTATTTTATTGCATTATTCACATATTTATTGATTTCAGCAAGTCAACATGGCGGCTCCTTAGTTACAAAATGTCAACTTTGGATTTGACGGTAGCTTACGAGAAAAACATGTAAATTAAAAATGGCAAATGTTGGGTTTGAGAATTAAAAGAATTAAGCACATTTTTTCTAGCGGTTGTTTACGAAATAATTCATGCAAGCTACAGATTCCTTAGAATGTTTTAGCTTTATCTAACAGGGAGCAAAAAAGAACAGCCACACACACGGCATACCCACCCTCGCTTCAGTTTTTTAATGACCGTATTTGTCCTATTAGAATCGAAGTAATTCAAGGAAGCCATAGATTTTTTTGTAAATTTACACATGGCCTGGGCCGGGATATTCGTTAATTTTATCCCTCGCTAACGCTCAGGATAAAATTTGAATATCACGGCCCAGGCCATGTGTAAATTTCCAACAAATCTATGGCTTTCATGAATCATTTCTTAAATAATGACCTACCAGCTATCTGTCAGTATTAACATTGCACCATCTAATCTATTATTGTTATTGCCATCTTTTCTGCTACTGGGTACTTGTGTAGACACCATAAAGCCATGCTGATTTATTTGACGCTTCTGTAAAAATGTACAATCTCTTTAGAAAAAATGTTAAACAAATTCATGAAGATACTCTGATCTCAGATAGTGACTTACAATTATATAAACTGGTGTCAGTATGCATCAAGGAGAGGATAATAGTCTTTCACAAAAACAATGTCTGTCTACTCAATTTAGTTGATCTACTGTGGATTTATTTATTTTCGTGGATACTAATTTTCGTGGATTAAGGAAAATGTGGATATTTGATTTCACGCATACAAGCCTATAAAAAATTTGTATTTATTGAGCATTTAAATTTGTATTTCATATGTACCATCTTAATCCACGAAAATTGGTATCCAACAAATAATCATGAATCCACAGTATAAGATATAAATTCTATCCTTTAACTGTCCTCAGCTTTTGTTTGTAGGGAATAGTAATGACAAGTAATAACATTTACTCATTTGGACAAGAGTTATAGGATAATCCAAGCAGTTTGGAGTTTTGTGATCTGTTGTACTGTCTAATATTTTTTGCAATTTCTGTTAACATTTTTATGTATTTTTAATCAGAAGAGTTATAGGCTTATAGTTGGGTGTTGGAGGTTATTGTGATCTGTTGTACTGTCCAATATTTCATGATTCCCATTTACCTTTTTATTCATTACTAACTAACTGGTTTTATGAAAGTAATCACTTAGTATCTGATATCTAAACTCTGACAAAATACATATATACATCTAAAAGAAGAAAAACGTCGTACTGACCTACTTATTTTGATAGGCTCCTGTAACCTCAAAAAAAGCAGCATCAAACATAATTATATGTATGTGTTTCACTTAGTTTCTGAGATCTGAAGTTGAATAAAATGCTTCGCTGAGCGCAGCCTGATACGACTGCAGAGGTCAAATCCTGAACAGTTGGGGCAAGTTTGGACACAATATTCAAGCTTGATACTGTCTGAATTTGGATTGTGATAAAATTTTTGACATAATATAGGTTTCTGACACAAAATAAATGTGGTCAAAGATCTTAAAAATATGAAATGGGCCATTTAATTTACCTAGAATGGTCTGATATCCAAAATCTAACAACATGATTAGATTCAGCATATAAAAAAACACCAATAATTTAATTTTAGTTGAAATCAAACAAAGTTTAATCTAGGACCCTTCAAACCTTAATATGAACTAATTTGAAAACAGGGCCCAAAATAAAAATCTAAATACACAATAAGATTCAGCAAATCATACAGCCGCAATAATTCAGTTTTTGATGAAATCAAACAAAGTTTAATTTTGAACCCTTTTGACCTCGATGTACACCAATTTAAAAATGGGCACCAATATCCAAAAAAATTATACAAGGTTAGAACCCCAAAAATTAAAGACCTAATTCATCCCATTGAAATTGGTTAAAACATTTGTATTTGTTTTCAATTGAAGATTTCTTGCTATTGCGCAATACTTTGCAATTGAAGATTCTTGCTATTGTGCAATACTGTGCAATTGAAGATTTCTTGCTATTGTGCAATACTGTGTTGTTGCCCAATACTGTGCAATTGAAGATTTTTTGCTATTGAGCAATACTGTGCAATTGAAGATTTCTTGCTATTGCGCAATACTGTGCAGTTGAAGATTTCTGGCTATTGCGCAATACTGTGCTATTGTGCATTACTGTGCTATTGTGCATTACTGTGCAATTGAAGATTTCTTGCTATTGCGCAATACTGTGATATTGCGCAATACTGTGCAATTGAAGATTTCTTGTTATTGTGCAATACTGTGCTATTGTGCAATACTGTGCTATTGCGCAATACTATGCAATTGAATATTTCTTGCTTTTGCCCAATACTGTGCTATTGTAGATTTCAAAAATTTTGAAGAAAAAAATGAACCCCCCAAAAGATAGGAAAAAAAAATTCCCCCAACTTTTTGACCCCCCCCCCCCCCCTTTTTTTATAGTAATTACCCCCGTCTAACTCAATCTCAGCCTTCCCTTTATGGTATGGAACCTTGAAGTACAATTTTAGAGAGATCCATACACTTAAACACAAGTTATTGTCTGGAAACTAGAAAAATGCTTGTTTTTGGCCCCTTTTTTTGCTCCTAATTCCTGAACATTTGGGGCAATTAACCCCAAGCTCAATCCCAGCCTTCCCTTTGTGATATGGAACCTTGTGTTACAATTTTAGAGAGATCCATACACTTAAACACAAGTTATTGTCTGGAAACTAGAAAAATGTTTGTTTTGGCCCCTAATTCCTAAACTGTTGGTACCATCACCCCCAAAATCAATCCCAACCTTCCTTTTGTGGTATTGAATCTTCTGGTAGAAATTCATAGAGATCCATTCACTTAAACTAAAGTTATTGTCCAGAACCAAATGTGTCTTCAGACGACGACGAAGACATCGTAGCATTATACGACGCAAAATTTTGTTTACGGTCGTATAATAAAAAATCTAATCAATGAAATTGAAGCATTAAACAAATCTTGGTGTCATCTACTATTTGTGGGAGGTAATTATACTTCTTAAGATATATCCTACAACCAAGATGTATAATTGGATGACACTTAATATGCATGATCTAAACTCATGTCACATTGGCCTACATTTAGGAAGAGAGTACTTTACTATATATGTCATGCATCCTTGCACTAAGTTAAATGCTTGTAGGGCCACTATATAAATGAAATCTTTTAAAACTTAGATTTAATTCACTCCAAGTCAAAGAAGCATACAAGAATAGTAAACATGAACTTCTTTTTGTTGGAATCTGCTATATTCCTAAAAATGCTTCCTTACACAAGTTGCATGTTTGTGAGTCGGTAAGAATCGGAGATCTAAACTATAATACGACACTTAATAGAAGTCCATGAAGCATAAAGTATATATTACAGTGACCATTTTCTGTTAGAGTCTGCTATACTCTGCTTACACTATGTTATATTACTATAGGGCACTTTGTATCCGAGATCTGAACTTTCAATGAAGAATAAAATGCAAGTCAGAGACCTAAATTTTGTTGAAAGCTGCAATACTCACTAAATCAGTTAATGAACTGTAAAATGCAGGTTGGGATTAGATTTTCTTAAAATTCTACAGATCACTGACCCAAATGGAATCCCCCTCCCCCTGAATATCTATAGTTCTTCAATCTTGTTCTACAATGCAAAATTTGAAGAAAAGCATAATTTTTATACCAATGTTTATCTTTTAAATCATTACATTTATGAAATCAAAATCATTTTATCATTTTGAGTAGAATAGTTAAGTAAACATGAAAGAGAGAAAGAAACAATTGAATGCAACCTTCAGTAGAGTAATTTGAATATGTTTTGTATGAATTCAATGCAATGATTTCTTACCATTTTATCACTTACCCTTGCTACAGTTAAAAGATCATCAACTGTTTTAGCTTTTTCTATGTCATCTTGTAATCCAGGATAAAACACAGCTCCATTCCTGTTGATTGAAAAAAAATTATTTGTTTTATTTCACATTTGTACAGCTATTCCATATGCATAAGATATTTGTGAATTGATAAAATGTTTAAACAATACTAACTGCCAAACTTATCATGAAATTTTGACATAAATATGTTAAGCTGACAAATCAGAAATGTACTACCATCAGTTAATCTATGAAATGAAAAACATTAAAACTAAACAAACAATACTTAAATATCTGGCAGCAAAAAATATGAAGGTCACCTACCCAACACTATTAAAAAATGCTGTGATGGCTTGAACTTGTAATTTTTTACTTGTGTAAACACACATTTTGTTATAATCAGATAAAAGATAGATTTTTCTGAATACTAACCCTGAGTAATGTTCCAGCATTGTCTTAGCCAGTTTGAACACCAAATCAAAATACTGCATCAGTTTTATATTATGTACAGATCCCCTGAAATATAAAATAAATATAAAAAAAAATCTGGCAATGAGTTATTTTGTTAAATAAAAACAAACAGACCAGAAATATCTAAGCTTGTCTCTTATGTTATAATGTAAAAACAGTTGTTTTAAATGTTTATTAAATCACAATTTTTTTTTACAAATGAAACTTTGGACCATCCTTGGTTTAATCTGATAATAACATCACATGATTTTTTTTACAAGGGATCATTTGGACTATGCTTGGTTTAAAACTGAAATAACAAGATTTTTTTATAAAGGACCATCTACACCATGCTTGGTTTAAAACAGTGAAATTAAAAAATATTTTTTATAAAGGATCATCTTGACCATGCTTGGTTTAAATCATCAAGTAATTTCATAGTATATATATTCATAAGAGAGGGTCTGAATAGGGGGGTCCTTCATTTCTGTATTCTTTAATTTCATAGGCCATTTTTCTCTATTCTTTATTTTTCAGCACCACATTATTCTCTATTTTATTTTTTTGGCCTATCTTCCTCTATTCTATATATTTTTTGGCCTTTATTTTGAACTTTTTGTCCATTATTCTCTATTCTGTGAACCCCATCTATACTTTCATAAGACAACAGACATATGAAACTGAACGATAGAATAAACTGACACGGTTCTATTGGCCTGATGAGCTAAAATTACCTGATAAAACTAAATTCTGTTCTGTAATTTTCAGTATCAGGAGGAGTCATTAAATCTAACCATAAAACAGGTTGTTCTGGATCTACCAGTCTCCTGTATTGTACTGCTATGTTAAATACATCACGCCATAAGGCTCTCTCTGAAAGGGTAACAATTTTATATCAACAGCTAGTGTATTCCTTTGTATACGTTTGGTAGCAAATAGTTATTTACATATTTTTTTTCAAGATTTTAAAGGTGACAGCCATGTTTGAAGGTAGTTTAGTCATCAACCAAAATTAAAAAAGCATATCTCAAATGTACCATTTAACTAATGTGGTCCTCATATGATTTTTGGGGTAAAATTTTCTTTTTCTTCCATTTTTGAAGGTGGCTGAGCTAATCAACATTTTTTACATGGAATCATGACATGATGGTCTGGATAGGGGTTCTTCATTTCTGTATTATTTAACTTTCCAAGTCATTTTTCTCTATTCTTTCTTGTTTTTTTTTGCCCATTATTCTCTATTCTTTATACTTTTTACCTATTTTTCTCTATTTTTTATATTTTTTGGCCTTTGCTCTGAGTTTTTTTGCCCATTATTCTTTATTTCTGTAAACCCCATCCAGACCCTCTGACATGGTTACAACTTGCAATAATTATATTATGAAACTGATACATGAAACATGATTTAGCAGAGAATCAATTTTCATCTAACACAGAAATTATAAATGTCTTATTTATTGAAAATGTAAAAATAAAATTAATATAATTACGATTTTTCTCCTTAAAACTTACCCATTTGTTGCTTATTTTGTCGTAATCCTTTCCATTTTGCCTGAAAAAAAAAACCCATTTACTTAGATTAACGTATCACTGAAAAAATATATTACATTAACAATCAAACTTCTACAAGTAAAAGGGACATAATCTAAAATATCAAAGTTCTAATCACCTGAGGACATGAGCTCAAATATTTGTTAATTTTTCATTGGAGGGACTTAAAAATACATAAGCTAATATTGAATCAACCATGTTCAACTCATCAGACATACATACATGTGATGGACTGTGAAACTCAGATCAGGAGATTGGGAAATTTGGTCAGGAGATTAGGACTCAGATCAGGAGGTTTTTAATCGACATAAATTTTGTCGTAAATGTAACCGTGTGCTGTAGAAGTTGTCTTTTAAAGTGTGTTTTCTTCAACTTTCCGTCCGAATGTATTATCTTTATAGTACTCTTGTACTTATAAAGTTTCTCTATTTTTATTCAACATGTTCAATACAACATTCTTTTTTTTTTAGTATGTTCTTTAAATTTTTTATTTCACATCTTTTCCGTGATTATTCCTAAGAACAATCATTGCAATCAGAACATTTATTTAACTATCTGCAATTACATCTTTTTTGCATGTTAAGAAACTCATTCAAACTGAACACAAGGATCATAGTAACTATATAAATTTCAATTTAAGGCTTGAAAAGAAGTATAGAACCCTCAAATAATTTTCAAATTATTACTTTTTTATTTGTCCTAAGACATTTAAAATCATTTAATTACCATCCTTTTATGATTATTTGTTCAATTTATATTTTGTTTATATTCTTTTAAAAATTTACATTATTTTAAGGAAAGTAACTTAAAATAGGATAAATCAAGGGAAGTAACCCAAAATTCATTTTTAAATACACAAAGTTTTTATTACACAACGGCAGTTAGCCTGAGGTAAAAATGATTGTTTACCAGTATGTTTGACACCCAAGCTGACAAGTGAAACCATATAATTATGCATGTTAACTGATTTACAGGTAAAATATAACTTCAGGTAATGTCAGTTACACCAGATGATATGTTGGGCTGAAATTTTTCATTCAAGAAATATTTCATACACAGGATTTTTTTCTCTTTAACGGGAGGTCGAGAGGAGACCCCTGAAAACGGGATTATTGTACTCCCGTCGAGAGGTTCACATGTATGGACATAAAAATACACATTAGATGAATGCTAATTTTATTTTAAATCTTACTATACAGAATTCTAAAAAATTTTAAATCACTTAACTTTCTCCCAAAACACTTAAACCTAAACTAAATCCTAGAATCTTATAACATTTCAAGATATATTTAATCAAAATTCATAATTTTCAATATCTATAAGTTGATGAATCCTCATTATTGATCACTTGACATTAAATTACATCCTGTCTCATATCAAAGTTTTGAAGCATCGAAGCAGTATCAGTGAATGTATTAAGCTTCAACTTGGTTTTACCTTAAACAGCTAAAATTCTGGCATGAACTAAGTATATGTATGTTATACAGAAACAGTGAATGACCGAAGAATGTTTGAATTATTAATCTTCAACTTTGTTTTAACAGCTATGCTCCATTTGTAAGGGAGAAGATACACATCAAATGTTCTACAGATTGTAGTAAATGGTTTAACTGACAAACTGTAGGTAACAGAGACAATTATTCACCTACCTCTAATAACTGTGCTAGGTGTTTTGAAGATAATCCCATGGCTAAATCATATCTTTTATTAGGTGTATAACCATCAGTATTGACTAACCTCTAATAACTGGGCAATGTGTATTGAAGATAATCCCATGGCTAAATTATATCTTTTATTGGGTGTATAACCATCAGTATTGACTAACCTCTAATAACTGGGCTATGTGTATTGAAGATAATCCCATGGCTAAATTATATTTTTTATTAGGTGTATAACCATCAGAATTGACTTACTTCTAATAGCTGGGCTATGTGTATTGAAGCTAATCCCATGGCTAAATTATATCTTTTATTAGGTGTATAACCATCAGTATTGACTAACCTCTAATAACTGGGCAATGTGTATTGAAGCTAATCCCATGGCTAAATTATATCTTTTATTAGGTGTATAACCATCAGTATTGACTTACCTCTAATAACTGGGCTATGTGTATTGAAGCTAATCCCATGGCTAAATTATATCTTTTATTAGGTGTATAACCATCAGTATTGACTAACCTCTAATAACTGGGCAATGTGTATTGAAGCTTATCCCATGGCTAAATTATATCTTTTATTAGGTGTATAACCATCAGTATTGACTTACCTCTAATAACTGGGCTATGTGTATTGAAGCTAATCCCACGGCTAAATTATATCTTTTATTAGGTGTATAACCATCAGTATTGACTAACCTCTAATAACTGGGCAATGTGTATTGAAGCTAATCCCATGGCTAAATTATATCTTTTATTAGGTGTATAACCATCAGTATTGACTAACCTCTAATAACTGGGCAATGTGTATTGAAGCTAATCCCATGGCTAAATTATATCTTTTATTCGGTGTATAACCATCAGTATTGACTAACCTCTAATAACTGGGCTATGTGTATTGAAGCTAATCCCATGGCTAAATTATATCTTTTATTCGGTGTATAACCATCAGTATTGACTTACCTCTAATAACTGGGCTATGTGTATTGAAGCTAATCCCATGGCTAAATTATATCTTTTATTAGGTGTATAACCATCAGTATTGACTAACCTCTAATAACTGGGCAATGTGTATTGAAGCTAATCCCATGGCTAAATTATATCTTTTATTAGGTGTATAACCATCAGTATTGACTTACCTCTAATAACTGGGCTATGTGTATTGAAGCTAATCCCATGGCTAAATTATATCTTTTATTAGGTGTATAACCATCAGTATTGACTAACCTCTAATAACTGGGCAATGTGTATTGAAGCTAATCCCATGGCTAAATTATATCTTTTATTAGGTGTATAACCATCAGTATTGACTTACCTCTAATAACTGGGCTATGTGTATTGAAGCTAATCCCATGGCTAAATTATTTCTTTTATTAGGTGTATAACCATCAGTATTGACTTACCTCTAATAACTGGGCTATGTGTATTGAAGCTAATCCCATGGCTAAATTATATCTTTTATTAGGTGTGTAACCATCAGTATTGACTTACCTCTAATAACTGGGCTATGTGTATTGAAGCTAATCCCATGGCTAAATTATATCTTTTATTAGGTGTATAACCATCAGTATTGACCTGCATCATTTTACCAACAGCATCAGCCTTACATATCAATATTTCTTTATTTCTATCTAATTCTTCAAATTGTAATAAATTAACATCTCTGAAAATACAAGAATATGTCGTTTATATTTTGAGTTCAAGAAATTGCATTTAACAAGACAGTATTGGTTACCTTAATTAGTTAAAGGTGTAATACCACCAAATCATAGTAAGTAATATCCGGTTGCATACGAAAATAGGTCGAAAAAAAATATTCCCTTGAATTTGACAGTTGTAGGTAATTGATCCTACATTTCATTGCAGTAAAACATTTCTGAGTCATAAACATATATCTTGGGTATTTCAAAGCACCATTATTTCTTTATTTGGGGTTTCTATAGAATATTTTGGAAACTTGAGGTTACATGGTTACAAAAGCTTGTACACAGGTTAAAAAAATGGGAAAATTTGATTGTTTAACTTCCAGTGATGGTTATTTTCTTATATGCAATGAAATATGTGAATTTTTTTCTATAGTACTGGACAGGATAAAACTTTACTCATGCCAAGTATTTCTTTATTTGAAACAAAGATAAATTCTGCACAATTTTTTGAAAAGTGCAAATCTAAGAAAGACTAAAGGGGAAAATCATTGGTGGTATTACACCTTAAGCCTGTTTTGAAAAGATGTCAATTGAAAATAATATTATGCCACGAGGAAATATTGGAGGTTGTTCCTTTTTTACTTGTCCAAAGAAATTTATATGAGCATCAATCAAAGTGCATCTCAAATACAGTCAAACCTGCTTTAACTTTGGAGAACATTATTTATGAATAAGCTGAATTTGGATTTTGAGCTAGCTTTAAGTAACTGTGAGTACTGTGTTTTGAACTAGCTTTCAGTAACTGCGAGTACTGGGTTTGAACTAGCTTTCTGTAACTGTGAGTACTGTGTTTTGAACTAGCTTTCAGTAACTGTGAGTACTGGGTTTGAACTAGCTCTCAGTAACTTTGAGTACAGGGTTTTGAACTAGATTTCTGTAACTGTGAGTACTGGGTTTGAACTAGCTTTCAGTAACTGAGTACTGGGTTTGAACTAGCTTTTAGTAACTATGAGTACTGGGTATGAACTAGCTTTCAGTAACTGTGAGTACTGGGTTTGGATTTAGCTTTTAGTAACTGTGAGTACTCTAAGATTTGTTATTTGTGTCTTTTGTTTTTTGTTATTTGTTTTTGTGCTTGGTATCAATCTGATCGGTAAGCCCTTTCCAAATGGTATTTAAAGCTTGTTCTTTCATTGTGATTTACACCATTGTCCTAGGTTAGGAAGTGGATTGAGGGCTAACATGTTGAACCCTGCCACACTCTTTATGTGCCTGTCCAGAGTCAGGAGCTTGTAATTCAGTGGTTGTTGTTGGTTGCTGTCTGCCCTAGTTGCTTTTGTTCATTGTGGTAGTACAAATCAGGCCTTTAAAGCTGTAATTGTTCCAATTGTTGCCCTTCATATCACATCTCCTTATTATTATATCCATAAGTTCAATGGACCTGACAAACAATATATGATTTATACGAAGTTCAGGTCAATGAGTTCACCAATTATCAAGATTTCCTATTTCAATATTGTACCCTATTTAATCAACCTTGATAATAATGTTGAAAACTCAAGTTATATTCAAATTTTTTCCTTCATTGGTTATCTAAAACAAGGGTGCACATGGTGAAATGTTTCACCTACTTTACTGATTATAACTGGTTTTACATTGAAAGTCAGTTCGATAAAGGTTTTACTAAAAATAAAAACCCTGCAAGACAGACATGTTTTTATTGGTATAAATATTGATTTTGTTATCAGTAAATTAAAATCATACTAAATAGTTTTGTTATACACATATGCACTTTAACAGTACTACAATCTGTCGATACCTTTATTTTGGCATTGCACAAGGTCATGTATTTCTCTGACGTCTTTACACTAAATCCATTGGATGTTGGATGTGAACTGATTGATATTTCAGTCTTAGATACATGATTTTTTTTATTAGTTGTTATTGGCTAGCTGTCAGTAACTGCGAGTACTCTCAGATCAGTACTAAGTGTCCTTTTTGTTGTTAAGAATGAGGGATGTATAAATACCCTGCCACGTCTGGTCTGTGTTTTTGTTTGAGTGTTCTGCTTTGTATTGATCTGATGAGTTAAGCCTTTTTCAACTGATTTTTATAGTTTGTTCTTATGTTGTGCTGTTGCACCACTGTCCCAGGTTAGGGGAGGGTTAAACGCTCACAAACATGTTTAACCCCGCTACATTCTTTATGTGCCTGTCCCAAGTCAGGAGCCTCTAGTTCAGTGGTTGTCGTTGATTGATGTCAGTCATAATTTTTTTTTCGGAAATTGTTTTGTTATGAATTTGGCCGTTAGTTTTCTCAATTGAATTGTTTCATATTTTTTATGTCGGGGCCTTTTATATCAGACTATATGGTATGGGTTTTTCTCATTGTTGAAGGCTGCACGGTTGCCTGTAATTGCTTACATCCACTTCATTTGAACTTAGTTGGTTGATAGTTGTCTCATTTGCAATCATACCTCATCTCCTTATTTTTATAATGTTCACATTACAATCATTTCCCATACACCAAATATAGTTGACCTGCTTTATATAGTATCTGTGGCCATAATTTTATAAAGCCTTTTGTGAGTTGATGCCCATTCTTATCATTAAGAACCATTAAGATTACCTTCACATGGTAACTAATGATTGCCTTGTGTTGCTAAATGTCATGTTGTTAATGTTTTTCTTTCCCATTCTTTTTTTAATCATCTTGCACTTAATCAATAAATGTATTGAAAATTCCTTTACGCAAACAATCTGTACAAAATTTTTCTTCTACACACAACCTTTTGGTTTACTTACGGTATTTCTGGTTGAAGACCTGGTTGTTCCTTATATTGTGTTTTAAATGTAAATGGAGATATCTTGGCCCAACGATCTTTAAACTCATGGTTTAAATCTTCATCCAATTTCAGTTCTGTTAAAGAATATTCTAAATGTGCATGCAAATATCGTCCATATTCTGCAAAATTAAATAGATTGTTGTAGCTCTAGCACATTTTTTATAACCAGATTAGCCTTTAACATATGTTGGATAATTTGGAATCAGTGCAATTTAATGTAAGAAATTCAATGTTAAATAAATTTGTATTTAGCTTGGTGTAATCTTCTGGTGATGTTCAGGAAACGTGATGCCCTAATCAGTTTTACTACTCAGAGATATCTGATTTAAAAGCCAATAAAGACTAATTTTTAATTTTCTATTACTGAAGAAGAAAAAAAGAAAATGACTATTGTTATGATTTTATGGCTTTAAATTTCTTAATATTTAAGAATGGTCACTCATTTACCTGTATCACTCCCCTATTTTACAGTCAGCTGTGCAGTATGCTTAAACTAGAGGCTCTAAAGATCCTGTGTCACTCACCTGCGTCTTTAACAATGGTCATTCTTTGTAAAAATCATCATTAAAGGGGAATAACTGTATTAAAAGTTAACTGACAATTTCAGTCATGTTGATATATTTGTAGATCTTATCCTGCTGATTATTTTTCCTTTTTCAAGTTTCTATTTATCTATTGTTGTTTTCAAGATAATAGGCAAAAAATGGGCAATAACTTCAATTACAAGTCAAATAAAGATTTCAGCACTCAAACTTATTTGAAGATCTTGTCTTGCTGATCTTTTTTGCTGTTTCAAGTTTTTGTTTACCTATTATGATTTTTAAGATAACACGCAACAATGAAAAAAAATGGTAAAATATGTCGTTTAAGGGCAATAACTCCTGGAAGAAGTCGTCTGACAGTTTTGATGCCAACAGATAATAGGTAGATCTCATATTTCTGAACATTTTTGCTTGGTCAGATTTTCTTTATCTGCAGTGGTTTTCAAGATAATAGACAAAATTGCATTTTACCCCTATGTTCTATTTTTAGCCATGTCAGTCATGTTTGTTGGCAGACTGGGTCATCAGACAAATCTTTTAAACTAGATATCCCATTGATGAGTGTGTTAAGGTCTTTTAATACTTAAATATCCATTTACTTTTCATAATATACATTTACATCCATGAAAAAAGTGATAAATATTTATGAAGACAGTCAAATAATATACATACATCAGTGTGTATAACAGTCAAATAATATATATACATCACTGTGTATAAAATGACAATATCCTGTTGCTCTGTAAAAACATACTTGATTTTAACAGCTTTATATTTCTAAATCACATAAGATATATATTTATTAACATGTCTAAGAAAGCAATGAGATGCAATCTCTTGTATAACACACATTTTAAACTATAGAAAGAATAAATACAAGACAGAAATTTATAAAATAAAAAGGCAACAATTCTAACACTTGCCACTCCTATAAATTGTATTCCTTGTAAATATTCATCCTCACTATGGAAAAACTAGAGGCTCTAAAGAGCCTGTGTCGCTCACCTTGGTCTATGTGCATATTCAACAAAGGATACTCTTCAACATTGTAGATGAGAATAGAATTCATGACAAAAGCTCTGTTTTGTTGATCTTATACAGTCGATTCCGGTTATTTGCATAGCCTATTTGTCAGACAAAATTATGCAATTAAGCGGAGTATGCTTATATCCGAAATGCCAAATTACGGAGTCAAATAACATCGATAGTCCAGATCAGTAAAGGAAATCCCTGAAGAAAGATGAACGTCCATAATCCACTTACAACATATTGAATGCTTATTTATTCTAATAAAATTTATGTGTCTAGTGTTATACATGTTATTTTATTTTGTATTCTTTCAATAAAGTTTATAAACACATTTTGTTTTAGTTTATTTGCGTACCGACTTTTCCTTTACCTGAGATATGAAAATAAAACTAATTGTTCTGAAAATAGATTTGTTTCTATGACCCGGATGTACAATGTACATTGTTACGCTTTGATTAAATTAACTGTTTAACAATACTACACAGTTTATAATCATTTTAAACAATAAATGTGTACTAAACTGCCTTTGATATGCAGTATTTACCGCTTGCACAGTGATGTAACACTGTTTCTTTAACCTCGTTAGTTTCGTATATGCAAAGCAGTTAACAGGTAATGGGGCCCTGTACGGGTTATTTGCAGGACACGAGTGTTGAAAGAGAGAAAATATAATAATTAGAAGTTGATTTTCTTTTCAAAAAATATTAAAAATAAAAGATTGATGAATAAAATTCTTCAACCATATATAAATGCCCTGTAATATTTAACATAAGTGTAGATCACCCCAAGCCGAATTACGAGAGTACACATTGGATAATGATCGATAATTAACAGGGGTTATTGTTTTTAAAATTCACCCCAAATGTAATCTATGAACAATGTTTGAAATCCAATCAATAATTAACACCTTTTGAGATAGATTGGACGTGTTTTTACAACAATCACCTGTTTGACATTTTTATGACCTCGAGGCTTAAAATAGAACATGGGAAACTTTACCTGTGTACACATCGAGGCTTATTTTATAATCATATAAACACGAAAGAAACTGTTTTAAAACTTTATTTAGATAACACAAAAGTAAATATGAAATAATAACGAAAATTATGATGCATTCAAGAAAAATATACTTACCAAATTGCCGTTTCCGGTCAAAAATCTCGTCAGTTTTAACTAAGCATATCTAGCTGGCGAATATTTTCTATGCAATTAACCGAAAGGCCACTTGTAAGGCTATGCATATAACCGGACAATTTAACATTAGATGAATGGGAAATGGTTTTGTGCAGGAGAAAAGTATGCAATTAACCGAATTATGCTATTAAGCGGTATGCAATTAAGTGGAATCGACTGTATTGCTGATCATTAGTCTGTTTAGTTTCTCTCTATGTTCTTTAGTTTTTGCTCAAAACACAAAAGAGGGTAAAAAAAATCATCATTTATGGGCAATCACTCCTATAAAGAGTGACAGTCTACTAATTATATTGGGAAAATTTGACTTGTAAGTAGAACTTGCCTTGCTGATCATTTTTGTGATTTAAAGTGTCTATTTATCATATAAGACAAAACGCAAAAAAAAAATGGTAAAAATCGTCATTCCAGGGCAATAACCCCAATAAGGAGTTGTCGGAAGAATTTCTTTCATTTGTCTTATTTGTAGATCTTGTCTGGCTGATCATTTTTGTTTAAGTTTCTATCTATCATAATTTTTAAGATATAAGGCCAAAATGCAAAAAAATGGAAAAATTCTTGATCAAAGGGCAATAACTTAACGAGTTGACTGACAATTTCAACCATGCAGACTTATTTGTAGACCTTGTCTTGCTGATTATTTTTGCAATCTAAAGTTGCTCTCTATCTATTACAGTTTTCAAGATAACAGGCAAACATGAAAAAAAAGGTAAAATTTGTCATTTAAGGGCAATAACTCCTGTAAGAAGTCGTCTGACAGTTTTGATGTTTACGGACAATTGGTAGAGCTCAACATTTTGAATTTTTGTTTATATCAGATTTTTTCTATTTATAACAGTTTTCAAAATAATAGACAAAACTTGTATTTTACCCCTATGTTCTATTTTTAACCATGTCGGCCATCTTGGTTGGCAGGCGGGGTCATTGGACGCATTTTTTAAACTAAATACCCCAATGATGATTGTGGCCAAGTTTGGTTAAATTTGAACCAGTAGTTTTAGAAAATAAGATTTTTGTAAAAGTTAACAGACGTGGACGATGACGGACGACGACAACGGACGACAAGTGATGAGAAAAGCTCACTTGGCCCTATGGGGCAGGTGAGCTAAAAAGGAATTCAAAGGAAATGTAAAAGAGTTGACATGCTAAAATGTGTCACATGCTGAACCTAATGTGACTGAATATGCTGAGTCTTTGAGATCAAGGTCATTCTACAGAAGCCATAAAACTTCATATTCATCAGTTAACCATGAAAATGAGTTTAAATGATTTTTAGCTGGGAAAAGAACTTAATCACAAGAAGCTTAATGCTGCTCAGTGAACCATGAAAATGAGGTCAAAGTCAATTGAACAGTGTCAGATGAACATATATATAATGCCTTTTATTGATTCTATAGACCAAATTCTATTGACTATTTACTTATTGTACTTGAGAAACTGACCTAATCACAAAAACATTTGTTTGTTGAGTTATCATGTTGATTTCAAGATACATAAATATACAATGTTTTATAATTATTTTTTTTAGTTTTTGCACTAAAAAAATAAAAGCTAACATAGTTTCAGTAAATAGACTTGTAGATTCAAAATTTCACTTACAGAGCTATTATAATTCCAATCATGATTTACAGAGTCTTTGGATTCCAAGTCCACAATTAAGGAACTTTTGGCATTCCAGTTGTTCTGACACATCTAGTTGTAATAGCCTTTGTAAGTGGACAGAACTAATACATTGAGAGAAAACTGACTGCATGGTCTCTAGTTTTATTGACTAAATGATAATGATATGAAAAACTTCAGAAAACCGATGCAAAATCTATAAAAACTATAGACATTGCTTCATAATATTTTTCTTCAACACAGATTTACATCTACATACCTCTTAAATAATGAGCACGTAAAAATTCAGGAGTAGCTTTCATCATAGGCATATTGTTTACCATTACCTGATAATGACATTATATGATGCTATTAAAGTTCTTATTACACTATAATAATTCTTTAAAATTATATTTTCTATACATGTATAGTGAAATGATTTTTTTACTGATATTTAACTACAATATTAAATTAACAGAAATATGATCTGAACAGCAAATATAGACTGAAGCTTAGTTTCTTTTTGTTGTTGGTTTTATTGCGTTACAGGGTTGCTGTCTTGTTGACATATATCCCCTGTTTCCATTTTAGCTCTTCACGAGGAAGTTGTAACAGGAGTAACCATATATTGACACACATACATATCTATGAGGGATGAGCTTTTGCATTGTGTTGGTCTCATTGTGACTTTGAAATGAAGATCAGTTATAAAAGTGTGATTATCTTGCTTTCAGTTTTGTCAAGTGCATACAGTGATTTTTGGCAATGAATTAATACATCATATCCTTTCTTATCAATCAGAAGTTCTTAAAGTAATAAACATAGAAATGAACTTTGACCTTACCTTTGTTGTTGATTTTAAACCTTCATAGAATTTCCCAGTAGCTATATATGACAAAGCCTCCATATACTGACAGTGTATATTGTCTGGGTCTACACTTAAACATTTCTGTAAAAAAAACAACTTATAGGATGTGCTGCTTTTGCTTTGTAAACAACAGTGGGATAAAATTCTTGATTTGTCTATATTTAGCAAAGACTGACAAATGCACATATTTATGGCTGTTACAGTTCATCCCCAACGTAAATCCATATGTATCCTTACTTATGTGCAAACACTTGTTGAAAATTGAAATTGAAAAAAAATTACAAAATTCCTATTCCTATTCTAATGCATATCAAAAGTAATTAATATATCCAATATAAGGGCATGAAAAAATGTATTAAATTAGAATAAAATAAACTTCTGCACAATTTCATGAATGATCTTGGGGGATTGATGTCATATCGACATATGGCCTTATAGGAATGAACTCCCTCGCACATTTGGATTTCAGCAAGCCAAGCGCTTGACTTCTTAGTTACAACAAGTTAACTGATATTTGAGAGTAAATAGAAGCTAAGGAAACAAATTGTAAATTAAAAACTGCAAATTTTCCATTCTCAAATGAAGGCATGAGAACAAATGCATTGCAATTTCCAATATAATTAATATTTACCAAGGACACAACCCTTTTAGAAATATTTCATCTGTACTTATATTTGAACTAGTCCATAACAATGCTGATATAAACCTTTGACATAAATTTGATAAAAATCTGGCAAATTATTACTCCTGAGAGCCGCTTACAATGCGATATTCAATATAATTAATATTTTCAAGGGCCACAACTCTTTTAAAAATAATTGATTGGCACTGAATTTTGAACAAGTCCAAGACTATGCTCATATAAACCTATGATATAAGTTTCATAAATATCTGGCAAGGATTGTACACATGAGAACACTAACAATGCAATTTTCCATATACAGTCAACTCTCGTTATCTCGAAGTCAGCCGGACCAGAGAAATATTTTGAGATACCTGAAGTTCGACTCAAACGAAAACCGGAAGTTTGACAAAATTACTGTCAGATTAACTCTTCAATCCATTTAAATCCACAGGGTCATGATTTGACATTTGTGTATTAGTTCGAGATAAATAATGAATTTTGAATGCTTTTGTTAACATTTGGACCGTAAATTTAGTTAGTCAAGCGAAATTTCGACTTATCTGGAGTCCAAAAACATATGTTTATATGGAACTAAGTTCGGCACCATGAAAAAACTGTGACTCATCCTAAATTTCGAGTCAACCGAGTTCGAGACAATGAGAGTTAACTGTAATTAAAATTTTCAATGGGCATCACTCTTAAAAATAGTTGATTGGCACTGCTTTTCGAACTTGTCTGAGACATTGTGAATATAAATCTATGCTATAAGTTTATAAAAATCTAGTAAGAATTGTACATGTGAGAGCGCTAATGAGACCAGAAGGAGAGACCCACAGACGGACGCCTGGTATTTTTAAGTCCCCTGCAGTGGATCGTGCGAGGGGCAATTATTATTACATCCACCTATCTGGATCTTACCTGGTCATCCTGTAAAGCTTTCATTGGATCACCACTATAGTAATACATATTAGCTCTCAACTGTAAGGTTAATGAATGATTGGAATTGATTTCTAAGGATCTATTAAACTTTCCTCTTGCTGCTCGTAAATTACCAAGTTCTCTGAAAATGACAAATAAGGATGACGTTTAAAAAAATGCAAGATCTCCAATACAGCCTGACACAGAACTACTTCAAAAATGTTTGAAATATAGGAACATGAATAACATCAAGAAATATAAATTAATTAGACAAGATTTACAATATTATGAGCTTATATAATATGTGCATATTTCACCAAATTGGAAAAATTAATAAAACATCTATATTTCCTTGTTTCAACAGCAAAATACTTTTAGAGAATCTTTTTTAATTATAGGTTTTCTAAACGAGTGATAATGGGATATCAAGCAATATCCAATTCTCATGAGTTGTTAAACCTATTTCTCTTATGGTAAACATTCTCATTGTGTTAAATTAAATATTTCGCGAATCATTGATCTAGTCTTTTGCACTGGCATACAAATATGACTTCATATGTTTTGTTCTGGCATCAAACATCAGACATTTTAAAAAATTTTGTACACTTCAGAATGTATTGAAAGTTTACAAAATGAAGATTTTCAGAAGTAACGTGTGAGTGTTTTGTATGTTATTGAAGAAAGAAATCACATATCTCCGCTGCCATGGGCAAAATGTACATCATCTTAACCTTTGAAATTCATGAATGACCTAACGAAAAGCCAATGGAAATGTTGCAATTTTGTCCCATGATGCTGGAACAAACCAATCAAATTAAACTCATTTTTCATATCTCTTTTTCGTATCACACTCCTAGCAGTGTGAAACAAGAAATATCTCTTCATGCATGCGAGGAATAGATAACAGGCCACAACCATAAGAGAATATATATTTTTACATAATTCCATTCAATATAAAATTGTTATTTTGGTGTGTCCATACTTTTCCAATCCAAAATATACTCAAAAAATATTACACAAATAGGAAAATCAAGAATTTTTACAAACTATACTAATTTCATCATGGTTTAGTACCAAAAGGGAACTAAAAAGAGTAGCCAAATTTAATCTATTCTCTCAAGTAAATTTGTCTTCTGCTGATTACAAGAAACTAAGTACTCATAATATGAAGACTGTTGATTGATGACCAGAAGTTATTCTAAGGTAATAACAAGGTATGCATATAAAACAAGTGAAACTGTGAGCTACTGCTCACTGATGATACCCCTGCCCAAATATTTCGGTAAACAGGAAGATGTAGAGTGATGAATCTGAAAACGCATCACACGGTAGAGCTGACTCATATAAACCTGAAACCAAATTTCAGAAATCCTTGTAATGGGTAGAGCTGACTCATATAAACCTGAAACCAAATTTCAGAAATCCTTGTAATGTAGTTCCTGAGATAAATGTGATGAAAATTTTCAACTACTTGGATGTCATGTGTAAAATGATGTAAGTGTTCGGTAAACAGGAAGTTGTTGAGTGATGAATCTGAAAACGCATCATACGGTATAGCTGACTCATATAAACCCTGAAACCAAATTTCAGAAATCATTGTAATGTAGTTCCTGAGAAAAATGTGGCGAAAAATATTTATGGGACGAACGACGGACGGACGGACGGACGGACGGACGGACAGACTGACAGATGGACAGATAGACAGACTGACAGATGGACTGATGGATGGACGGACAGACAGACAGAGGTAGAACAGTATACCCCCACTTTTCTAAAGCGGGGGTATAATTAAACTGACACAGAAGGGAAAATATGCATACATTGCACACATTAAGACATTTGATGTTAAAATCCCTTGGTTGTGAATATATTGTTTCAATTACTTAATAGTTATTTAATTACACCTTCCTTAAAGAGATGCAATAAAGGTCATTTAAACAAAACAGATTCCTGATTGTATTTTAAATAATAAAAATATTATATTTTATTTATTCAGTCTTTAAAATCTGCAACAGTGCTCTTTAGTTATATTGTAGTACAGTTTCCCAATAAGTTGCAAAAAGACACAGTTATATTATAATTAATGGTACACAGAAAGGCATAAAATTAAACAGGTTAACTAAACTAAACAGTATGAAATAAATAGGATACAAAGGCAAAACAGTGATACTGCCACAAGGAAACATGGAACACAATAATAAGAGGGATGTGTCATTAAAGAACCAAACATTGAATAAAAAACAGGCGAAGATTCAACAAGATGCCCTATTACTGCTCGCTAATTAGATCCCCATCAAGAAGTTATGACTTTTTAAAAAAATGTGAAGAAAATTTCATACATGTGCATGACTTTTTAAAATTATAAGTTTTCAGCAAACAGGAAGTAGAACATCGAGGGAACTGAAAAAGATCTGTAGAGGTAGAAAAAAGCTACAGAAATGTGGTAAAGGTAAAGTTGAAGCAATTTATCCCCTTTGGAATGGGTGTATAATCAAGCAATCGTTACTTATTATTAGACATGCTCAAAATGTAAGATTTTTTAACTATGTTTAATGTATTGATAAATTGTTTAGGTCAGCTTGTCTTTATAAAAACAAACCTTGAATAAAGGTTTAATAATTGCCAGAATTTCTTGGATTGATAAACAATTGGACAGATGGGAGGACATTGGTACACAAATTAAATCTTTTTTTTGACTTGTTAACAGTACCTTTATGAAACATGTACGCTATCATGCATCTTATGTGTAACAAAACTTACTTGTAAGCCTGACCTACACTGGAACAAGCATCAATATGATCTGGCTGTACTTTTAATACCTCTTTAAATACTTCTATTGCATTCTGAAAAGTTAATTTGAGCTTACAGCAGAGCGCATCGAGTGTGTAGGTAAAGGTAATATCTTTGGTTAGCTTGCTTGCTAGCTGAACCGTGAAGTCATTATTAGGTTAGGTAAACTACCCTCCTTTAAGAGTAGACTAGTCCGACAGATAACCAATCTATCTGTAGAACTAGACTACTCTGAAAGGAGGGTAGTATACCTAACCTAATAATGACTTCACAGTTCAGCTAACAAGCAAGCTAACCAAAGATTATACCTCCACATACACACTCAATGCATTCTGCTGTAACTAATACATTTTCTTTGTAAACTGTATAAAGTTTGTACTTAAAAAAACTTGCATTAAACCATAGAATGATTTTTTAATGAAGCAAATTATAATGACAAACAGTTATAAATATGCTTAACTTTCACTTCATCACTTTCAACTGAAGTAACACACCTTGTTATTATCCCTATGCACTTACAAAAAGTACATAATTTAAAGAAACTAATATAGAATACGAAATATAAAATTAGACTCCTGTTTCGGATATCCCACTCACACTATCATTTTCTATGTTCAGCGGATCGTGAAATTGGGGTCAAAACTCTTATTTGGCATTAAAATTAGAAAGATCATATCATAGGGAACATGTGTACTAAGTTTCAAGTTGGTTAGACTTCAACTTCATCAAAAACTACCTTGACCAAAAACTTTAACCTGAAGCGGGACAGACGGACGAACATAATACCCCTCTACTATAGTAGGTGGGGCATAAAAATTGACTTTACCCGAATTCTTCCTCTATAGTACTGTGCTAACCCCAAGTGGTACAGATTAGTAATATATGTAGGACTGTCTTTATCTAAAGTTAACTTGAAATCTTTCTCTGCATCTGAAAAATTCTACAACAGATAATGGTATTTTTAATAACTGATGTACATCAAAACATGCTGTCCTACTAATAGTTGTCTCCCTTTGATGTATTTTAATGGAGAAGGAAACCAAACTTTCATATTATTATTGAAGGAATCTATAACTTATTAAGATAGTAATAACACAATTCTCCCTGTTTAATTTGGTATATATAAATAAATCTTTTTAAATTTCCAGTCACAAAGGCAGATGCCATATTTCTTAAACGTGTGATGTCACTACTCCCAATCAGTTTCGGCATCAGTAAAAACACATCTCCCAAATCAACAAGTTGAACACAAAAAACCTTCGCGGAGTTTTCATGGAGAGATAATCAGATAAATAAAGGTAAAGTTCTAATTTCAAACCAAAATATTTGGCTAATGAAATTAAGTTGCAATTCAAGGACAAGTCAGTATCACAGTCATCCTATCAGTCAGCTGATTAGGTAAATCATGGGTGGAAACTAAAATCCATAGAATTTTTTTGATATTAGCCAAAATGTTTTTTTTTTTAATTTGACAAAAAGGATGGGTAACAGAGCTTTTTTCAATCAGCAGGTTACTTTTTTCTCTTACTATACAATGATATGGAAAAATTTAAATCTGACAAATTTAATTTTGGGTTTCTTTCTCCTTAAATTGAAAGTTCCGATAGATTATAAAATTTTAGCAATAAATAGATGCTGAATTCAGGAACATTTTGATGATTCATGGATTATCTTATATAATTCTGGCTGTTCAGTTGAGACTCTTCTAGGTTAAATGCCCTTTGATAAAAAGTTTTATGCATACGGATAATGATATATAGTCTAAAAAATATTTTATGAATTCTAAAATTAGTGTCACATCTTTTTTAAATTACAAACATCATGAAAAACAGCTTACAATAATTTTATTTTTTTTACCAATTTGAGTGCTTCATAAGTCTAAACCAAGAAAAAATCCCCTGCATCTTTGCTTGAAGGATAAATAATAAAATTTTCCAACATAAAAAAAATAATTTCTTTTGTGTATCAAGTCAAATAGCATTAATACAAACTCTTGTCCTTCTATGCAATGTTTAACAGAATACAGAATTCGATCACACAACTTTTTAACTGTTAGCCATACTCTGTGTCTCAACAATAAACATCCCACAATGTTGGTGTTATAAGATCTGTATGATTTAATGATTCATTTTCCTATTTTTCCAATGACAATAATCCATTCTGGATAATACTTTAGCTATTAACAGCCCATATGCATTTTACAGAAGCTTACCTCCAGTAAAAGATTTACAACTCCTCGTAAGAAAAAGATCCTTGTTGGAGCATTTAACTTGATAGCTTTATTGAAATCATTCAAAGCATCAGGATAGTGGCGAATTGCCATGTAAGCCTGCAAAATAACATTAATCAGATATTTAAATTATCATAATGTTTGCAGAAAACATCTTCAAAAATGAAAGAACCTTAGTGAGCGCGCTCACATACCCCACTTCCCCACATTGTCATTGGAGGAATAAAATAAGTGTAAGAAAAAAAAAAAAAAATTGTATCAGAAAAAAAAATTGAATCATAATTTCCTTTCAATATGCACATCTACATAGTATGTCCTTATTATCTACACAGTTTCATGAAATTCTGTTGTGTGGTTTGAGAGGAGTTGCGATGACAAAAGGTTGCAGTAGTATATTGGGCAAATAAGTTCAAAGGGGCTTAACTCCTGGGAAAAAAATAGAATCGTAATTTCCTGTCGATATGCACATCTATGTAATATGTCCTTATTATCTGAAAAGGTTTCATGAAATTCTGTGGTGTGGTTTGAGAGGAGTTGCGATGACAAAAGGTTGCAGTAGTATATTGGGCAAATAAGTTCAAAGGGGCGTAACTCCTGGAAAAAAAATTGAATCGTAATTTCCTGTCAATATGCACATCTACGTAGTATGTCCTTATTATCTGAAAAGGTTTCATGAAATTCTGTTGTGTGGTTTGAGAGGAGTTGCAATGACAAACTGTTGCAGTAGTACATTAAAGTAAATAAGTTCAAAGGGGCGTAACTCCTAGAAAAAGAATTGAATCGTAATTTCCTGTCGATATGCACAACTACATAGTATGTCCTTATTATCTAAAAAGGTTTCGTGAAATTCTGTTGTGTGGTTTGAGAGGAGTTGCGATGACAAGAAACAGGACTGACGGACTGACGGACGGACAGACGGACGGACGGGTCAAAAACATTATACCCTCCGCAACTCGTTGCATGGGGTATAATAACATTAAACAGATATTTAAATTATCATAATGTTTGCAGTAACCATCTTCAAAAATAGCATTAAACAGATATTTAAATTGTCATAATGTCTGCAGTAACCATCTTCAAAAATAGCATTAAACAGATATTTAAATTATCATAATGTTTGCAGTAACCAACATCAATCAAAGTGCTTGTGAGCACTCAAGGGTAAAGATTGCTTTCATTTTGCAATTTTGAGAATTTTTAAATAAAACAATGAATTGTATTTTGCTAGGCAAATTAAAACAAGTGAATCTGTGAGCTACTGCTCACTAATGATACCCCCGCTCTGCTAAAAGTATAAAGTAAACAGGAAGTTGTTGAGTGATGAATCTGAAAATGCATCATACTGTATAGCTGACTCATATAAACCCTGAAACCAAATTTCAGAAATCCTTGTAATGTAGTTCCTGAGAAAGATGTGACGAAAAATATTCATGGGACAGACGGATGGACCGATGGATGGACTGACAGATGGATGTGCGGACCGACAGAGGTAAAACAGTATACCCCCACTTTTTTATGAACAAATATTCTTGGGACAGACGAACTGACAGACAGACGGATGGATGGACAGACAGAGGTAAAACAGTATACCCCCACTTTTTTAAAGCAGGGGGTATAATAATAAATATGAGCTGGAGTTATCTTCCTTTGTTCATAATTGTATATTTGCAGTTGAACCTATTTTTATGACAGATTCATACACTATGCATTACTTGTGTAATTCTACATAAAAATACTTTCTTTTGACAAGTATGGTAATTCAAATACACATCATTATGACATATTGTAACTCATATATCAAAGTATAACATATCGTCAATAAATTACATGACATTGACAAGATAGGATCTTAATAATGATCACTTCACTGCACTATTTTGTTTGAACTATCAAAGTTAGTGATAAACCTTGGAAGATATAGATATCAAGTCAGTACCATAGGTTTTTTATTGCTTTTCGTGCAATCTTTACCCAAAATTAATATTTTACTTGAATAGACTAAAATTATGCCATCTGTCATAATTTTTTTTCCGTTTAATAACATCAGCTTATTTATAGGCTGTTGGTTTTCACTTTTTATTTATTTTACATTCATTGTGTTATCCCAATGCCTTTTATAGCTTATTATATGGCATGGGTATTGCTAATTCTTGAAAGCTATACAGTTACCTCAGTGTAACCTTATCATCTTTGTCCTTTTGGTCTATGGATAGTTGTCTCAATGACAATCATACTACATCTGACTTTTTTCATATCATAATCTGTGTTTTAAATACGAAGCTTCTGACATCATGGAACATATAGAATTTAAAGAATGCAATAATTCTTCTCTCTGATGATTTTTTTTCAGACACTTTGGAGTATTTCATGATTTTATTCAAGTCTTTAAGAAGTATGTGTTAAAGTTTAATGTATCTAGTAATATTTGTTTTATCTGTATGATATATATCTTCTATTACCTCCCCTCTTCTTGCAAACGGTTCATGAAAATTTTCTGTTCTGTGTATAACTTCAGTAAATTCTCTGATAGATTTAGCTGCATTGGCTTTTTCCTGGTGAAACAGATATATTGTATAATCCAAGGTATTTTAAAAGTTCAATATACAAGGTTTTATGAAAGACATTTGTTCTTTCCATAATTACACAAAACATTCATGAGTGTTTCTTTTTCATATTTTCAAGGAGAAACTGCGATCCGAGGAGTAAAATAATTTGAAATTATGTATATTAGGACACTGCTTCTATATTGGAAATTTCATACTGCAGAACCTCCTGACTACAACAGACTTGAATGGTTCTTAGGATGATTAAGAAATTGAAACTACATTGTGTTGAAATTTGGGGTATTTTAACTACGAAAATAAGTAGTGTAGCAGAAAGTCAAAGTGGAACATTTCAATGAATTTTAAAAAATTAGATAATCAGCACAATCAAGACAGTTCTTATGATTTATTTTAATATAACTCATCATGCATGTATCAAGCTTGTGATCATATTCATTGTTTTGTTTAAAAACAACAATTAGTCAAAAAGCTACTTACTTCAATGCCTCACTAGAATACTTTTTAATGTCAAAGTAAGTTCTGTAAATTCAGAAATTATTGCGAGGTTTTTATCATTGTGAATAATGCGACTGGGTGAGTATCGCAATAATAAGAACTCACATTCTGATATTTGATACGGATATCTGTATGCAGATTTTCCTGAAATCGCAATAATTAATCTCACATTTTTAGTCTATTCTTCAAAAAACACATTAATAAATGCACGCAATAATTTCTGAATTTACAGTAACTTACATGTACCCCTAGACAAGTGATTTTTTTCTTTTGAAAAGAAAGCTACTTACCAGTAATTGTCAGCTTGGAAACAACATAAACCTGCCAAAGTATGAAGGTTATCTTTAACTATTGTCTAACATCATTTCCTTGCAATGATGGCAACTTACCCATAACCATCACCTAGGATACATCATTCAACTATCAATGTGAAAAGTTTCCCTGTAACCCTAACCTAGGTTACATCATTCCCTTGCAAAGTAATCAATTTACCTGTAACCCTCGCCTTGCATACACCATTCCTCTGCCATAGTAAGCCCCTTTTAAATCATTACTTTCCTGAAACAAAATATAGGGAAAACTGATTTTTACATACAAAGTTATTAACATGAGGCAGGTGCTACCTGATGAGCTCCCAAAGGTTATTGGTGCATATTTGTTTTACTTATCATCACACTTTTCGATAATCAGATATTCAAATTTGACGGAAATCGTATGCTCCTTTATGATGTGTTATGTGACAGAAATTTATTGCTGCCAGCTTGTTGCATTTAATTCTTAGGGCAAATGGACAATTCTACCATTAAAACTTCCTTTGTGAGCGTACAAACATAGTCAGATGTTGTTAAAATTTCAATTTCTAGTTTTTAAATTGGATTCATGTTTCATGCAACATGGTATAAAAATGACCATACATGTACTTACATACAACACTTCATTAAATGTCTTCATTGCTGCATCATAACTTCCCATGTTTAACAATACAAATCCTAAAGCTAGAAAATATAATAAATGAAATATTTGATGCATTTTCCTCTTTTTCTTTCATTTACTCAAAGTTAAAGTTCATGAAATCTATATCTACTGCATATAACACAAACATTCTGTACAGAACATAACTACAGTGAGTACAGTCCATTCAAATGTAATTGTAAAACAGAAAATGAAAATGAAACATTGTTAAATTTGAATTTCCTTGTTTAAGGAAAATTTACAAAAAAACATTGCATGAATATTTAATGCTTTAAAGAAAATATAATCCTTTATAAATAAACATGCATAAACAAATAGAATTTGATCAATAAGTCAAGGTATCATTTATCTAATATGAGGCAGGCATTACCTGTGAAAGGGGACGAAGTCTATATAAATTATTTTTTTTAATTCAAACACAATTTAAGTTCTAAATCTGTTAAAAAAGAAACGGAAATACCGTATCGTTTCCGATTTTGGTTCTGTTGTTAGGGATTTTAGTTGTGACGTTATTTTAGTTATGACGTCATATTCAATGTAAACAAAGAAACGCTATCATCAGGTAACGTTTTTTCATATCAAAGAATAATTAGAAATGAAATTGTTATTGTGTTCCTTCCTATATTTTACTGGGCTGATATATATATGTTTCACTCAAAGTCTCATGACAAACGAGACCGGAAGAAGGGAGTAGATTTCTGCGCAAATGCGGGAATTAAAAAAAGTCTGAAAAAAAAAAGTTAACGATTTTGAGTTCATTAGTACAATGAAAATTTCAGGAAATTTTCCCGGATTTTTTTTTTTTTTTTTTTTTTTATTGATTTTTCTACTGTAATAGGGGACTTCGTCCCCATATAATACTGAAATTGATTATCAATTAATTACAAACAAATTATAAAAGATATTCATGCAGTTCATTTTGCTTTATCAGATTAAATATATTGAAACCATAAAATATTTTAAAATCTTAATGGACAATAAATTTATGTTTTTCTCATGGGTAGATGTATTGACATGCTATATACATGTATAACATAATCTTAAAGGTAAAATTTAAATATTACATATCAGCATTACTAAATAGTGATATAAAGGATAACTATTTAAAAAATGCTGTATTTATGTAATTTAAATGCACTACAATTCCACTATAACACAATATCCTAATGTAAGCAAATATTACTTCTTGTATATCTGAAAGCATTTTCTACTAATACAAGTCAGAAAACCCATACCACAAGTACTCTCTATTTCTATGTTCCACATATGTACAACTTCAGGATTTTTGTGATACTAGCCATACTATATCCTACCTAGTCTTGTTATCAGTCTCAGGATTTTGTGATGGTTGCTGTACTAAATAAAAGCCAGTTTTTTTTATTAACCTCAACATTTTATCTTACCTAGATTTTTAATCAACCTCAGAATTTTGTGATAATAGCCATACTTTATCTTGCCTAGTTTTTTAAACAGCATCAGAATTGTCTGATAATAGCCATACTTTATCTTGCCTACTGTTTTAATCAGCTTCAGAATTGTGTGACAATAACCATACTACATCTTACCTAAATTTTGTTTCAGCCTCAGGATTGTGTGATACTCACCATACTTTATCTAACCTAGTTTTCTAATCAGCCTCAGGATTTTTAATTCTAGCCACACTATTCCTAACTAGTTTTTCAATCACTTTCAGGAATTTGAGATTCTAACCATACTGTGTTTTACCTAGTTTTTTATCAGCCTCAGGATTTTGTGATGCTAAAGGTACTAATTCTCTCTCAACTATCTCTGTAGCCAAATCCTAAAAAAAACAATGGTCATTCAATTTCTGCTCATTTAGGTTTTTTCCCAAATTAAGGTATTTTTAAAAGAGTCCATATGTATAAACTTTCTTTGTTGTATATGGAAGTTTTTAGAGTGAATTGTTTGTCTTATTTTGCAGCCCCCATATGTGGAATTCAATATCATGCATCTTCCTATGGATGGTTGGTCAATGATGTATCATTGTTATCAAGGGGTACCTTGTTAAATATATTTCCACAAAAATATATCTGCTATAGTTTTAGTCCTAAAAATTGTACATATAATATATGAATTATTTTCTTTAATATTATCAATTTAATAGTCACATTAAAACCCCAAGGAGTATTGCAATTGGAGAATAGACATTCTGTTCAAACTAAAAATAAACAGTATAAAGTAAACTGAAAATGATTAACAAACAATGAGTTTCCATTTGTGAGACAGAATACCTCAAGACTATGCTGACAAGTTTCTGTTTCTTCCTTGACACAATATCCAGAATCTCTAAGTGTTGAGCATAATCCAACAGGTGGGTCAGAGGATTTGTCATCTAAATATAAAAGATAAAAAACTTTATTATTTGCAGTAGAACAGGGGTATATATATATATTACAACAGTTGCTGGACAGTGATTCTGGAATTATTTGGAAGAAAGGACATATATATCTCAAAAAGAGTGGTATAAGATCATATAATCTGCAATATTAACAGTTGACACAGAGATATGTCTCGCCTCTGTAATTTTGAAAGTAAAATGTCAATGTTGACATTAAAACAGCAATACATTAACATGTAAAATGTTCAAAGTCATGAACCATGACTGAAAGTACAGGTCAAATAATTTTGCTTAAATAAGATATGCCAATCAGCCAATGCTAATACAGCAATGTACCAAATGTCATAAACTTATCATAAGTGGTTCCCCTTAAACTGACCTAATCACAAACTTTTACATGTTTTAAACTATATATATGTAAAAGATTCAAAGTCAATAGACCATTAGTCATGACTGAGGGGGGTGGGACCAAATAATCTCATCTGAAATGACATGAGCCAATGCTTGTATAACTGCATACAAAAATATCAGACTTATCGAAGGTGGTTCCCCTTAAACTGACTTATTCACAAACTTTAACATGTAAACTATGCTACCATGTTGGGGCTTTTTATAGCCAACTTTACGGTATGGGTTTTTCTCATTGTTGAAGACCAAAAAGTTGCCTATAATTGCTTACATCCACTTCATTTGAACTTTGGTTGACAGTTGTCTTATTGGAAATCATACCATTATTATTTTTTATAAAGTTTCAGTCAATAGACCATGACTGAGGGGGTGCTTAAATCCACTGTGTACAAGGTTTTGGTTCCCGAGTCTGTTTGTAACAAAATTTACTTGTATTATACCTAAACAGTGTACCAAATATGTTATGTTTTAAAAAAAATACAGGTAAATCTTAGGTGAAATTCTAATTAACCTTGATTGTTATAAAAACAAATTATTTATCAAAACATCTATTGTTTTTGCATGTGGGAATAGAAGGAATAGTATTTTTAAAAAGTGGGAATAGGGATGAATGAAGAAAAAAACTTAAATTCAGCAATGAAAATTAGGGTAGTTACATAGGATTAATAGATACACAGGTATTTTTTTATGGCCCAAGTTTATTGAGGTTGTTGCTGGTAAATGTATCCTTTGGGACCTTGAATATTTTAATTCTATCAGAATTTTTTTATTTGAACAGATCTTTGTAAAATTTCAATGGAACATGCATATCATATAAAGTTATAAAGGGGCATAACTGAAGAATGGTATAAGTGACGCTACCTAAATTTGTACTTGATCTGAGTGTTGTGGTAATAAGTATTGTGTATAAGTCTCATAACATTTGGTTGCGGCAACCTTAAGTTAGAGAACAGAAACGAAAAAATTCAGCAATTTTTTATACATCCATTTACGGGACGTACTATGGTATACTGTTGACCGTCTGTCCGTCTGTCTGTCCGTCCATCCGTCCTTGGTCAACATGTCGGACATTAACTCAAAAAAGCTTTAACCAATATGCATGAAACTTTGGTGAATTGTTTATATCTATTGACGTGAGCTCCCTTTCGTTTTTTATAAATTTCAGATTTACCGTTTCCGAGTTTTGGGGTTTTATTCATTAAATAAAAAGAGGTGGTTTTCCAGTTTTCCGACAATAACTCAAGAATGCTTTCACCAAGTTGCAAGAAATTTTGGTGAATTGTTTAGATCTGTTGACATGAGCTCCCCTTTGGATTTTTTAAAAATTTTAGATTTAACGTTTCCGAGTTACAGGGTTTTATTCATAAACTATAGAGGCTCTAAAGAGCCTGTGTCGCTCACCTTGGTCTATGTGCATATCAAACAAAGGACACAGATGGATTCATGACAAAATTGTGTTTCGGTGATGGTGATGTGTTTGTAGATCTTACTTTACTGAACATTCTTGCTCCTTACTATTATCTCTATCTATAATGAACTTGGCCCAGTAGTTACAGTGGAAAATATTATGTAAAAATTTACAAAAATTTACAAAATTTATGAAAATTGTAAAAAATTGACTATAAAAGGCAATAACTCCTTAAGGGGACAATTGACAATTTTGATCATGTTGACTTATTTGTAGATCTTACTTTGCTGTACATTATTGTCTTTTACAGTTTATCTCTATCTATAATAATATTCAAGATAATAACCAAAAGCTGCAAAATTTTCTTAAAATGACCAATTCAGGGGCAGCAACCCAACAACGTGTTGCCTGATTGGTCTGAAAATTTCAGGGCAGATAGATCTTGACCTAATGAATAATTTTATCCTCGTCAGATTTGCTCTAAATGCTTTGGTTTCAGAGATATGAGCCAAAAACTGCATTTTACCCTATGTACTATTTTTTAGCCATGTCTGCCATCTTGGTTGGTTGGCCGGGTCACCGGACACATTTTTTAAACTAGATACCCCAATGATGATTGTGGCCAAGTTTGGTTAAATTTGGCCAAGTAGTTTCAGAGAAGAAGATTTTTGTAAAAGATTACAAAAATTAATGAAAAATGGTTAAAAATTGACTATAAAGGGCAATAACTCCTTAAGGGGTCAACTGACCATTTTGGTCATTGGTCTTATTTGTAGATCTTACTTTGCTGAACATTATTGCTGTTTACAGTTTATCTATCTCTATCTATAATAATATTCAAGATAATAACCAAAAACGGCAAAATTTCCTTAAAATTACCAATTCAGGGGCAGCAACCCAACAACAATTTGTCCGATTCATCTGAAAATTTCAGGGCAGATAGATCTTGACCTGATAAACAATTTTACCCCATGTCAGATTTGCTCTAAATGCTTTGGTTTCAGAGATATAAGCCAAAATCTACATTTTACCCCTATGTTCTATTTTTAGCCATGGCGGCCATCTTGGTTGGTTGGCCGGGTCACCGGACACATTTTTTAAACTAGATACCCCAATGATGATTGTGGCCAAGTTTGGTTAAATTTGGCCAAGTGGTTTCAGAGGAGAAGATTTTTGTAAAAGTTAACGACGACGGATGACGGACGCAAAGTGATGAGAAAAGCTCACTTGACCTTTCAGGTCAGGTGAGCTAAAAAGGGGGATTTTCCAGTTTTCGGACAATAACTAAAAAATGCTTTCAGCAGTTCTCATGAAACTTGGGTGAATTGTTTATATCTGTTGATGTAAGCTCCCTTTAGAATTTTATAAATTTCAGATTTTACATTTCTGAGTTATGGGGTTTTTTTCATTAAAAAAGGGGGGATTTTCTAGTTTTTGAACAATAACTCAAAAATGCTTTCAGCAGTTCTCATGAAACTTTGGTGAATTATTCATAGCTATTGATGTAATCACCCTATTGATTTTCATAAATTTCAAATATGACATTGAGAAGAAATTGAACTTTATTTGTTTATAGTCTGACAACAGATTTACTAAGTATTGCCCAACAGCACAGTGTATTGCACAACAGCAAGAAATCTTTAATTGAAGATAAATTCAAATCATATAACCAATTTCAAGTTCTTTGACTACATTTATTCAGAAACCTATAATATGTCAAATATTTAATTACAATCCTAATTCAGACCTGTATCAAGCTTGAATATTGTGTCCATTTTTGCCCCAACTGTTCAGGGTTGGACCTCTGCAGGCATATCCAGCTGCGCTCAACGAAGCAGTTTATTCCATTTGTAAAGGGGCATAACTCTAGAACAGTAAAAGTGAAGCCACCAAATTTCTAACTTGATCTGTATTTTGTGGTAATAAGCATTGTGTATAAGTTTCATAACATTTGGTTGAGGTTAACTTAAGTTGTAGAACAAACGAAAATTCAGCAATTTTTCCATTTATAAACAGGCATAACTCTGGAACGGTGAAAGTAACGCCACCAAGATCTGTGTTTTGTGGTAGTAAGCATTGTGTATAAGTTTCATAACATTTGGTTGAGCAGACTTAAGTTAGAGAACGGAAACCAAAAAATTTTGCAATTTTTCCATTTATAAATGGGCATAACTCAAGAACGGTTAAAGTGACGCCACCAAATTTCAAACTTGATCTGTGTTTTGAGGTTATAAGCATTGTGTATAAGTTTCATAACATTTGGTTGAGGCAAACTCAAGTTAGAGAACGGGAAACCAATTTTGGGACGTACGTACAGACGGACAAGGGTAAAACTTAAAGCCCCCACCGCTACGGCGGGGGCATAAAACAGTTCATTTAAGGGCAACAACTCATAAACTAGTATCTCTATCTCAATTGCTTGTAAAACAATTAGAAGATCTTTCCCTTAAAAGTCAGATATTTGTAATGCACTCTTTACAACCTTTCATTTGAAAAGCGACAAGCATACCTTCTAAAAACTTTTCACTTTTCACAATTAATTGCCCTATCCATCTAAGTTTTGGAGATCGAAGGTATGAAATTTTTAATCAGTGTTCTCCCCAGGGCCTTTTAGCATCATGGTAATGTGATGCTATTAAAAATGTTTCCCATATAGAAAGTGTTATGGAAGTGATGCTATAAATTCTAGAAACAAGATGGTATTTCATGGGTTTTTTGTTTACCAGGATGCTATATGAAATTTGAAGGGAGAACAGTTGTTAATGTAGACTTGATGACCATTCATTTGATATATTGCTACAACACCACAATCTAGTAAGTTTGATTTTTTACACAAAATAACCCATCCAACTGTTTTTTGGGGAACATGAATTTAATATTTGAAATATACACATTACTAGTATGATCTTTCATTTGATATGCGACAACCTTACATTTAAAACAATTTATTTTTTGCAGTCAATGACCCCAACCAACCTATTTTTGGAGGACACAAATTTGATATTTGAAATGCACACCTTATTAACTTCCATTTGATGTGCAACATCCTTACCATCTTAGAAGTTGTAATTTTTGCACTCAATGACCCCACCCTTCTCTTTCGGATGGAAAAGAGGGTAAAAAATTTCGTTTTTGAATAGAGCTCATTTTGATGTTCAATTCATATGTCACATGACCC